ACATGGCACAATTCCAGTTGTGGAGACCTTCGTAATGTCATTTTCGCCAAATGAACTTTACTCAAATAGGCAACGACAGCATCGGGAGCACGTTCAACGCCTTGCGAAGCAGACTAGCAGGAGAGTAAGAAGATGCAGAGAAGTAGTTGAGATTGTCAATGAGATGAGGTGTATCCATGGAAGGCGTTGTTATCGCTCAGTTTTGAAGGGTGTGTCACACAAGTGCATGAGTAAGTCTAAAACATTGCCACAAACACTTGTAATTTCGGTTCAATGTCACCTAAAGCACTTTCATCAAGTCCCAATGTTAATACGTTAAGACGACTGAAGGCTAGCTAGTGTCACCCTGCTTAGTCTACCAATCCGGAACTGTTAAACAATTAATTAAACTACATTGGTGGTGGTGGTGGTGGTATTAATGCCCAGCCATGTATGCCGGTGTAATCTGGCAATAACCTTAGAATTCTCAGGTCCAAAAGATCAGTTAAGCTTTGCGTGTCCATCGGGTGCAGGGTTTAGTGAAATTCGAATGTACCCATGAGGGTGTCTAATGTAAACAGATGTACATATAAGTAAACTAACATTCAGTTGAATTTATTTACATAAATAAGGGAAGTAACAGCCTTCCTCGAAAACCAATCCAGGAAATGGCAGTAGTTCATGACCATTTAACGCACTTAAATACCTGAGCTAACAAACTCACATTTAGAAATAAATGCATAAAAGGAATTTCATTTTTAGCTAACTAATTTTGGATGTTACCAAAAAAATGTCACATCGGCCCGATTTTTTTATGGACCTGGAAGTGCCCAATGGATATTAGCATCGTTGTGTGCGCAGGCAGTGTGGCAAAATCAAGCAAAACCAGCAATATATTTAGACATTATCACATTCATTAAAGAACTTGCGTTAACAGTACTACAACCCTGAGTTAGATAAGAGGCATAAGCAATGCAACAAATAACTTTTAAACAGGCAGGCGAAATTTTTTGCGGTCAATGAATCTGGTGCGTTGGCTATTGACAGTCTATTCAGCGAAGTAGCTGGCATATTTTTAAAGTCTTTAAGGGTGCTCAACAAGTACATTTAAAACGAAATTCATCCGATTCTTATATTAACATTTGTATCCAATTTGACGTCACAACTATAAGCAAATTATGCGTTGATTAAAGTCGGAAAGGAATAAACAGGTAGTTACAGATCGTGGGCTTGACTACTTCAATGTCCAACATATCAAAAGTTGCAGTTTTAAGACGCATACGCTGATATCAATTAGTGATATTAGACCGGGAGGCGGGTCGTGGCTGACATAACGCAGTTGAAAATTCGATTCTACTTAAAACTACATCAGTAAAACGTATTGTAATGTGTACCTCTTTTTCTACTAGATTTTACAAACGGATAAACTCCTATGACATTATCCGACACAGTAGTTAATGACTAAATAATGTGAACTCGAACTTACGATGACATTGCAGCATCATATACTACCAAATATTCAGAAGGATTAAAGTCAGCTGGGGGACAGAGAGTCAACCGTTTATACAAAGCTGGACCAAGTCGTCGTCGGGTGTGCCATGGGTGGCGTTTGCACGCGTCTAATTATAGCTCAGGTGCGTGAAACAGCGTGAGTAATTAATGTTGGTATTTATTAATTAAGAACCCATTCTAAGCTGGGCCACTAAAAATGCAGACTTAGTCTGCAACTAACAATTAAGAAGGCAATCAGAAATTGATATTTATTTGTGTGAGCGATGTTATTTTTGAGCTCGACATGGTAAGCAAATGACATTGGCGAAATTGCCGAGAGTATCTACCACAGAGTGCCAATCATCAACAGTTCTTTATTTTGACTTAAGGATTCATAATTAAGTGATTAAACACTAAAGGCTTTCCATTGTTAGGTAGAGGCAAAAGTGACATTGTTGTTTTAATTGTTATAGCGTTCCAATTCCCATGGGGAGTACAATGATAACTTTTCCAGATATATTGTCATTCCAATACTTTAGTTTACTCTCAAGTGGAGCTTTACACTAATATGCGATGCAGAAAAAATGTAAGAGATCTAGTATCAATAGCGTTATTAACATTGGTCTGCGTGATTAATCTCAATCCAGGTGCTCTTTTTCTTAGTGCAAAAGCGATTTCTGGTTGTTCTGGGTTTACAGTGAAAGAGAATGAAATATTTTACTATATTTGTGACATTATTTATTAAATTAAATGAATTAACTGAAATAAATTAAGACTTAGAAATATTATTAACCGATTTTATTGAGTTTATTTCGAATGAATTGCATCAAGTCGTATCAACTTTTGATAGAATGAATTGTTTGCAGAATTGGAATAGAAAAATGTTATCACATTAGCAGCTGCTATTATAACCACATATGTATAAGGTTTTTCAAGCGTTTTCAGAAGCATAAGTTGCTGTGCAAAACTGTGGATCATACAAAAATTACGCATATGATTTATAGCAATGTTGAGTTTAGATAGGTCTATCTGCTAAGCAGCATTAAATATCAAAGTAAAACCACAAGTTGTGAATAATAAAAAGACATCTTTGCAATGTTAATTAAGCAATATATTTTAAGTTTTGATGATTAAAATCAACATTATGCCAATTCTTTACCTTAGATACATTTTGACCTAGACAGTACACCCGCGAAATCCAAATATTTCGATAATGTTAGCAAGCATTGTATGCTTCGAGGATGTACAGGTAATTTATAACAACAGAAAAAACCTGAAAAGGTTGACTATGTCTTTTTTGCGGCCTGGATTTGGCACCAGTATTATGTCAAAAAGGGGCACAACGGAGATATCGCGTTTTGTTCCAACGTAAAATATGTGGAATTTTTAAATGAATTTCTACGTTTTAGAATAACTTAGTACTATCAAAAAAATTTGTGGACGATTTATCGTGTGGAAAATGTTATTTTAATGTTCTTAAATGTTGTATTGCTGGAGGGTACGACCCCAAATTCACTGTTGCGAAAGGTATGTGAGAATCGTATGGTGTATAGTTATACGTTTTTACGTGTCAGTTATTAAAAGAACTAATTAGTTCTGTTTTTTTACAAAAGCCCTTAATATGACCATATAATACATAATTTACACTGTATAGATATTTTTGCGTGTAGATTAAAACAAAGCTTTGACATTTCAAATATTTGCTTAAAATACACCAATTATTGTGCTTAATTTGCAAATATTTCCAGTAAACAAACGTTTTTGTGTATCTTTGTTACAGGTATACTTAAACGCACACTCGAATTCTCATGTCGAAATCCACAATTAAACAAAAATGATATCAACACATCCAAGAACAATTTAATAGGGCCTTATAAAACTTTCAATAATGTGTCGCAGGGCCCTTTTATCTTCACAGAAGACTTATGCATCAACAATGGTGAAAAAAAGCGTTTTTGGCTGAAGAGTCAAATGGTTGTCATCGAATTCATTCTTCGTATTTGGATTCAGGCTAACATATCAAGACCTTGCATAGCTCATTCACTCAGGTAGTATTTTTTGAAAAGTTGGCGCCCATATTATTGCTCTTATGACCAAGTAGTTGTTTTTAAACGAATAAAGTTGTAATAATCAAAACTGTTTTAAATTTGTAAACTGATTCCAAAAGTTCTGAATTGCTGTAGCGATTTATTATGTTTGACACTAAATTTGTGACAAGTATCTTTGAAAAGTTAAACAACTTTAAAAGAGGCACTTCATGGAAATATTTTACATAAAACACAACAATAACTGATATGTGATCAGCATCTACGGCTAAAGCAGGAAATCAATTAATTTTAATGTCTTTGTCTAGTGCAAATGGAAATATGGGTGATTTATATTAACCGCGATCTCTCTGCATTTGCTTGCACTTTATTCCATTATTTAAAGTCGTTATCAATTTAAGCAAAAAAATGAAGAACCCTGTGACTCTTGTAATAAAAGGACTTTTGGTTTTTCAGGCTTTTGACAAATAACCATGTTAAAATATTGTTGAACGAAGAATTAGAGGGCGCTGACGGAGTTTTATTTTGGCTGGTTGCTGTTAGTGCTCAAGCACTAACAAACTTCGGTATTTTAGTGAGTATTTTTTTTTCTATTTTTATGTTTAAATCATTAGCAAAAATTATTATGATTGAAAATAATGACATTTTAACTAAACATTGAAATGTCACAAAAGCCTACTGCGGAGCAAATTCAGTCTGCTTAATTACCTGTATAACCCATTGTACTGATATTTACGTCTAACGCATGCTTTATTCATTTTGAAATAATTGAAGCACATCCTGCATTAGATGCCAAAATTATTATACCAAACAATTTTCCACAACTACCTCTTATGAATTGTAGAATATCAGTTTCATAGTTTGGAAAATTGATGAAAAAGCTGAGAAAGATACATGCGTACATACAAATATATACCCATGTATGATATATTTTAACAAGCAAAAAGCAGCCACACAAACACATTCATACAAAATGTGTTCTTTTTATTAGTTTTGTGATTTCCCAAACAGAAGGAATGAGACTTAAAATCCCAGCTATTCTTAAATTAAGTAGACTAAATATTTAGACAATTTTTGAGTTCAGTCATATCTTTAACTGTGATATTAAAGCGTTTATCGCCAAAATTTTACTTTACATTGAATTTTAGAACTGCCAAGACTGGTTGTTGGAGTATTTGAATGGCCAGAAAATTTCTTCCAAGGCTAAAAACGATGACACAATTTACACCGCCATCAAAAGATCCGACACCTTCCTTCAAGGTTTGGCCATACCCAACTTAATAGCTCTAGCACTATGCCAAATTTTTTCTGAATTCAGTTATCATAAAGGTAAACTCTCAACTCCTTCCAGGGTGTAAACAAGTCCGTAAATTACTGTTGAAAGGCAATTTTGTGAACTTTTGTAGAGTTTCGTTTCACATTTAATGCAAACGGAGAATCATCAGTTTCTGATACGTTATACAACATTAGCAAACTGATTGACATATGTTCTTGTCAAATCGGTCAATCAAGGATACTGGTATGTCTGCCTGTCAACTTTATCGAAGAATCCATGGCGGTCAGCGGCAGTGGCATTCCCTGTCGGGATTTCGCATGTGGGCTTGCAAATGCCTCGACGCTCAGAAGGCTTCAGGCTGCAGCAGTGGCCACCGAGATCTTTCAGGTGGCGAAAACAAAAGTCCTACGTAGGTTGTTTATTGTATATTACAGTCTTTTAGCGCGCAAATTAATCAGCCGAATTGGGCCAGGTTCATTTAGTCAAATCCTCTGATTTCTGCCCTTTATGACCATTAGCACCTGGTTAATAAGGACTCAAAGTGTGACGAATTCGAGTTTCGCTAGGTGACATACCAAAGAGAGCTCCTACATTGTCCGCAAGCCAACCAACCACCAAAATTGTTTTCTGTGATAAGTTTAAGCAACATAAAAGGAAAATAACGCTGAACATATATAGGAAGATTGCAATTTAATACGAAAATCCCTTAAATTCGTTGGAATACTGTTGATACTTATGGCTGCGTTTATTCATTAGCATATTTAGGAATGTCGCTTTAAATAGCCTCGAAAATAAAAGATCTTATTTGAATAGCGCTAATAGCACTTCTGAAGTGTTCTTAGTGCAGCGATGAGCATCGTTATATTGTACAAATATGTGTTGGAAGATGCATAGTCGTGTTGAAAGTAAATCCTGATCATTGTCACATTCATTTTGATTTCAGTATATAGATAAATGCAAATCATTTTATTTTCATGAAAACCAAATTTATTCCCTCCTTTAAGTTGAATATATTAATAAAAGCAGCAGCTAATAGCTTACGACATCTGAACGTATGCAAATAGTATTATTTCCTAGGACTGATCTTCCACTATTCCAATTATCTTGCTTGAACGGGCTTCTTTTGATCTACGTTTGGGCTTTCGGGAAATTTGACGTGACTGTGGTGTGATTGCTGGAGTGTGATTTTATTTCGACCGATCTTATAAGTCGTGTTACACATTAGTATCAGTTTGGCCGATTCATAAAAATGGTGACTTGAAAATTCAACTAGACCGCCATTCACGAACTCCAGCCCACGCTGTACATCTATTTATGAAATGATTTTGCTGCATGGGTAGACAAGACACCCATTTAAATAACTCCCTCGTAAATAAACTCTTTTTGTTTACAAAGGCATCCGTTACTAATGAAGTTTTTAAATTCACGATGAACCAAATATTCAAATCCCACCAGATGTGGGCCTTAGCTGTAAAATTTGCCAGGGCTTGTAAGGCTTGGGAATTTTTAAATTATGCATTTAAATGACCATTTGAAAGCCAATTCGGTCCACCAATGAAGAATGCTAGAACGATTTTTATATGGTCAACGTGTTTTTGACTCCAGTTTTTATGAAATTCTAAAGCTTGTGAAGAAAGATTCGCTGGAGATGGCAAGCAAACTTACCGTTTGGCCACGAGTCCCGCGGCGTTTCCCCGGTTTGAATCTGGTCCTGACTGCAGCAGAAATGAAGAAGAACCTTCAAAGGAAAGCAATCATACTAACGAGGTGGAATGCCAATCGCATCAGGTACCACCAACCGATAAAACTGATTCATTGAAATGGCACCTAACAACTTCTTCGCCTAGAAGTATGCGTCCTAAAATAAAGCGGTAAGTTGGGAGTTTCGATGCTGCTCATTCGGGAAAGGCCAACATTCTGAAACTAAAATCGTGTAGAGACAGACTTTTGACGTTAGTACTTAAGCAATTCTAAAGAAAATTCACGATCATAATTACTGGAGTTATCGATGAATTATCATGAAACTTTGTGAAGGGTTGAAAATATTTCGCAAATGTTTACAGGATTGCACTGGCAGTACTGGGTATGACAGGAAACCTGACCACTCAATCAAAACAACTTTGAAAGTCCCTTATTTCGGTGATCTTTCGAGGTTTACCCCACGGACAAGTGTACAGAAGCACTTTGGAGTACAATGTTAGGTCTCAAAAACCTGAAGAATATAGCAAACGTTTCTTAAGAACACAGCTTACAAGCCAAGCATGATGTTCATAACGGTCGAAGGTGCATGCTACCAAGTAAATTGGAAGAGGTTTATTTGGCAAAGTTTACCTAAAGTTGGAGAGTTTCATTCATTCGGCATATACATTGCTAAAGTTCATCACACGTGGATCACACGTAATTACAAATGTCTTTTTTTACGGAGTTCTAGCAACTTACTTCACTGATGGTGATGACACCCGTAATTTTGGATATAATTCAATTAAAATATTCATATGTGCTTACAAACATTTCTGGTTGGCGAGTTAGTAAAAGGGCGTATCGTTATCCCCCCGACCTTCCCACAATTCTCTCAATATCGGTTGTAGAAAATGCCCCGCAACGTAACGGCATAAGCGACTGACACCAGACCCTTTTATTCCACTTTCACAATGTGCTTATTTGTTACCTAAGAGGTTTCTCTATTCATTCTGTCTTAAAATCAGTTATAACTACCGGCCGATAAAATTGGGACTTAAAAAACTTGAAATGTTCGAAGACTGTCCTAAGTGCATAATAGCTTTGCCTTCTGGGACACGGTGCATTAAATTTTTCACAGCTGCCTCTTCCGTGTTGCTTCTTAAACAGGAACAAAGCCCTGGATGCCTTCTTTACTGAATCAGCTGGTCAGTCAACAAGATCCTGCTTGTGCGAGTCACCCTCAAGATTTCAAAACAATCCAAGCAATTTGATTCAGTCTACATCAAAGGAACGAGAAGGTGTTCAGATCGAAGGAGAAAATCACTTCAATCAGGAAGCATTCGGCAACCTCTCCGTCGGCCTACTTGAGGCTCGCAAGGGAAGCGCGCTCATGTTAACTACAGGCACTGTGGATCAAAGCCTTAAATCTGAGGGTATTCCCTTGGTCAAGTCCAGTCAGACAACCTGGCACGACCGGCCAGTGAATCAGGATCAGTGTTGTGATAAGCAAACAGAAACAGATACGCTGCCAGACGTTAATTTTAATTATAATCAATTCATCCTAAGACGAATACTCAATTCAACGAAGCAACTTCTGAACAGACGAAAGAAGGTAGAGCAAAGAGAGCAAACATGCAGGAGGCGGCGGGTGAGCTTGTGTGCGATTTGTAAATCCCAGTTAAAAGTGCTTATGCATAACTGACAAAAGGTAATAAAATATGCCAAAAGACAAATTACGTCTAATCTAAACCGCGTCCTTATGCCCCATTTCCCGACATGTCAGGAAAGCCCCACAACGGGCTGCAAGATCAGTCCGAGCATAGTAGAGTGGGAATGTGAGTACGGCACTACCACGGGTTTAATGCGTATTTCAATTGAGGACTACGATGGTTAACTTGCAAAGCAATAATGCAGGACCGACAGAAAGCCTGACCTCTCTATGCATCTCTAGCTGAAGCAAATTAAAATTTTTATGAAAATGATTTATGTACAAACCTCTTTAGATTTTAGACTGTCATTCTTAGGTGGATTTCAGTTAGACATTTCAGAATGTAAATATATTAGAAAGGAATAGCTCAACTCAGTGTCATCGATTGGAGTTTTCGAAAAGCAAGCTAGTCTAGGAATTCCTAAGACAAACTTACACCGTTATTTAGCCATCGTTTCTCAGATTTAGTGATTAATTCGTTGCCTTATTGAATTGGGCCACTAACAAGTTTAACCATTTCTGATAATCTGATTGTCATCTGTCAGCTTCTGAACGCTAACACTGAAGCTGAAGAGCTGTTTTCTGGGGATATATGGGAACCCATTCACGATAGCCTCATATTTGATTGCAGATGCTCAATCTGTTTTCAAAACAGGTGAAAAATTAGCTAGCCATTTGACACTTTCTAGTCTTCCTCTTCCGTCGACTTGGCCGATGAGCTCTCACCAATGTCCTTATCGGAAGATGTCACGATCTCATCGGTCTCGGCGGCATCCGTTTCGGATTCCTGTTGTGAGTCCATCTCCGTAGACTGCGTGGACATTTTACGCAGCCACCAAACTCCAGAATGTACTGCTAGTGGGATGACAAGGCAACGCGAAAGTGAGGAACAGAATTGTGTGGTCGATGCTGCACAAGCCATAAGCAATTGTATTAACGCGGAGAATGAACACTTCCACATAACGCCCGAGTCCTTTATTGCCAGCCAGGAAGCACCAAAAGAAGATATCAAAAGCGAGGTATGGGTGTTCACTAGTCTCCTTTTAAGTTGAGTTTGTACCCATTGAGTGAAATTTTGTTTGACTTCGATTTCCTAAGCGCTCGCGTCTTGTTTAAATTAGTATTGTCATTTCAAATTTAAAAGATGAGCCTGAGACACATCACAGTTGCGCATAGTCCCACGATTCGGTTACTAAAACACGAAAGAACGACCTGGCTATTTAATGATGACCGTTGGGATTGAGATGGTTAACAACCGTATTGATTATTCTCTAGTATTACTTACTTTTGGGATGAGAAAATGATATCTGCACAGTATTGGAACTGATGAAAATCCATGTTTTAAAATAGAACTAACTTTCCTTGAATTCAAATATGTCAGCGAACAAATGATAGAAAATCCTATACTCATGGATTGATGATGAAAATTTTTGTTGTATCACACTGAAACCGCAGTTTTCCAAAATCCCTGATGCAAGTATTATAAAAAAAGTTTTAGTTCTGAGTAAGATTCATTTAAACAATTATAAAATAGTATGCTTCAAAGTAACCAAAAGACGTTAAAGGTGTTAACAAATCCAAGTTTTCAGAATAGCTAATTGCAACTTCCAGTTTGACTATTCGTGTTAATATTTTGCCTCGGATGGCTTTTATTCACCACGACTACAGAGCAGTGAATGCAACGCATCGGAAGAATGTCCGAAAGTGAATTGTGTCGTGTCTGATAAGAAGGCTCGTTTCTCAAGTGAATACAAACATCATGAAGTCGGACAGATTCGCAGCGGAGGAGTGAAGTCTGCCCTTCCAGGCGTCACCCGACACATCACCGCAATCAAGGCTGAAGGCTCCACAGGAATAGCACCGGAGTGTGCACAGCGAGCCCAAGATTGCAGTGATACTTGTCCCCGTGGAAAACGTCTCTCTCAGGTAGGGTGTATTACACAACAGGATGTGCAAACGCTGAGCTGGGCCCACCAATAACTCCCACTGTATAAACCCCTCATGGAAATTGTCTGCCAACAACCATGCTATACATTAGTAAGAAAATGCAGTCGCATTTTACCAGTCTACTGAATGGACCAAAATATTTGATTATTTAGGTAACGCTCTTTTTCAGAAATACTAAAATCAAATTTGTTAAACCATTCATTTAGACCTAACAAATTTAAGTTTCTTGGATGAAATTGCCCTCGGGGGGTCGTACCACAGCCACATCAAAATCTGAAAAGGTTAAGTTTGTTTAAAAGACAGTTTAGACAAACTAATTAAGCGTGTTTAGTTAATGTAATTGAAATAAAGTAAACAGTGATCGCAATGCGTCTGTGTGTATGTGCTACATGTGTTTCAATGATAGAAATAAATAGGGCTTTTACAAGGTTGCTTTGAGTAAGGCATACTAGATAAATAATAATTAAAAAGGGAACCTAACATGATTTGATTTGTAAGTCTGACTCCACTGGCTTTTAATGATAAGTAGAGCATTAATATTAGACTTGAGAGAACTTGTTAATGTTTCCCTAACTTTAGCTACCGTTTTTCTCGGATTAAGACGGCATGACTACTTCTTGTACGTCAGTACTATACCTCGTTTGTGCCATTACCAGAGACTATAACCCAAAGTGCTTGAGTGACCAGTTAGGGATACTACTTTAAATTTCATCCAGGTTGGTAAAACCAAATTCATTAATTTTAAATGGACTTTGACACACTACTTAATTGTTCTCTCATCCATAGAACTGGTGAAGGAATGGGGAGAAAAGATTAGACACTCATCTGAAGTGAAATCATGCTCAGCCTAGGCTGTTTCTTTATTTCGGGTTTTACCACTGACGATAAGTACCTCGAGCTCAAATATGTATCCATGAAAATAGGTGATTTTAAAAGGCCGAGCAGAATCTGTGAAAGGTTTTTATTAAGAAATTGCACAAAGGTTTAGGAGCAAATGCAAGTATTTGCCATTGGATAAGGTAACAGAATTTTCTCTAGGAACACTTAACGAAGCCAAAGAACACAAGAAGCTACGTTGAGGCGTTTGAGGGTCGAATCAATCCCCTTGCTGGAACGTCAGCCAACGCTAAGCACACTGTCTCCCAAAAAGGTAGCTACCTGTTTGTTTTGTCTCTTTTACACGGAGATATGTGCAAACTAACACGTGCGTCTGTTAGATGCACATCGAGTGTGCCTAACGGAAGATGTCACTTGCTGCCGCCGCCCTACATCGTGCCTTCTTTCGCCAACTGGGAAAACCACCCCCTCCCCTCAACTTCATGTCAAACCAACTGTAAGGTCAAACAGACGGACGATTATGAACGCCATCCTACACCGCTGTCTTGTTGGGCGGGTTCAGGAGGCCCTGAAATTAGAGGTTCTCCAGGTAATGGTTTCTTACTTTCCATTTAGAGGCCCCTTTTCGCGTTCAAGAACAGTCAAATTTAAAAAAAAAATGCCCTGGTGTATAGTAAGATGAATTTCCTCTTTGAGGGAATTAGTATTTCATTTAGTGACACAAAGTACGTCATGCAATTCAACAGTACTTCTTCAAGTAATTTGCACACTCACTTTTCACACCCAGCAATCCCACTAGTAGGGCCTACGTTTGCCAGAATGTGTTGATTATGAAAACCAGGTACATAGCAGAGTCCTAGTAACATTCTTGAACGTTTCGATTTGTAATATTTCGGAGCATGACACCTGCTGCCTAGCACGTGAGAAAACCAGGCTAAGTCGTAAAAGACAAGGTGTTGTCACGAGGCGAAGCAAGTTGGCCTAAACAGAGTTGAAGCAATTTTAAAGTATAAAACTGCATAGTTTTTCATGAGTTCATTCAAGTATTTAAATGGCTGTTGTGCATAAATGGACTACGAGTAATCGCACAGGTTCGGAAACTAAACGTTCACTATATGAGCTTGGAAGCACGTCCAACCACTTTGCAGAGGATGAGGGTTATGAAATTACTCCACAATACAATTTCATTTTTAATGGAACAATTTTTTACCCTAGGAACTGGGATCTACTGATGGAAGCCATTTTGTTATTTTACTGAAGAATGGTCAGCAGTACAGTGGGTTATTTCTCCTCAACAACGAGGTTTTGACCAGAATCACCGGCGTTGGACCTCGCCAAATAACAACTCAAATGGTGGAGCACTTTTACAAGTAAGATTTCCCACAGTCTAGTATTACAGCTAAGTTATCCTTTTTTTAACTTGCTACACTTTCTTCTGTCATAACACACGTTGCACTTAAGGTATCAGATGAATGTCAAGTGACGTTATTCAAGAAATAGGGCTTAAATCCATTAGTTACGTAGTCTTAAAGTTTCATATTGCCCAAAAGCTGTCACTTTTAGTGTTCTTTGGGTACCTAGAGCATTATTGCGTTTATAATTGCACTAAGCCGAAGGAATACCAGATATGTGCCGTCAACGAGACCCTAATGTGCTCATTTCCATGATCCTCAGTAAACTAAATTCCAACCTTGGCTTAAGTAGATCCCCAGGTGGGTGGTGAAATGCTTTTAAGCTTATAAACCACTTTACAACCACTTCTTGTGTGCCATTTTAGGTACGATAGCGGAACCAAATCGTTTGTCGAAATTGAATTAACCAAACATCTCTCGACTGCTGTGGATGCTGTCGCCTTAATGGTGTCTCACAATCGCAAACTGACATAGAAGTTGGCGAGTATCTCAAGCCTGCAAAATCATCCAAATAATGGTTTTATGTAAAATACACTTTTACAGTTTTGATCGCACATAACATAACAAAAAAACCAGTTTTATCACATCCAAACGCGTAAAGATTCGTTCCACCACTTCTATTTTTTTAAATGCTTTTTAAAAAAAATGGTCAAATGATCTTACTTAACCCTAATGAAAACAGGTGCATACCTTAGATCCTAATTTACTTTATTTACACAAGCCATTTTATAAAAAGAAAGAGCATGACTGTGTCATCTCATTGAGCGGTTTGTTGTAGAGAGGTAGGTATAAGAAAGACGTCTACACAAGACGCAGAATTTGTATCAAAATATACTCCAAAAGTTCGACATATCACATAATTAATCGTTGTAACCACAAAGGACGGATAGAAATTTGGGTTGTGCGGTACATTCAATTGATTATATAAAATAACAGCCTTTTGTTCACAATTACGTTGAGAGTATAAATGGTTCCAACCTCAGGAAGGGGTATCATTGCATGAACTAGTCGTTTTCGGAAGAAGTGCTGCTAATGTCATCGTCATCATCGCCATCATCATCATGAATCACCTTAGTGGGTGCGCGTGTTCGAATCGCGTTGGGTGGAACTGATTTTTGATTTGGCGTTCTCTGTTTGGATGGCTGGTAGGGTCCACGAACTACGGTTGCTGAAGAAAGTTTGACATTCTACAATAAATGTAGACCTGCTATTGTAAGTTTGTCCGTTTTGTTCACTGAGGTGTGATCAATAAATATTCTAAACAATCAGTTCAATCAGCATTCATTATTATTATTATTATTATATAACAAACTTAATTAGCAGGAAAAACAACCTTTTTAAAGGTTCATTTCCGTACCTGTACAAAGGCGATGCTATCCACTTCCCTGCTAGAGCCAATTACACCAAATTGCTCCAGCAAAACTCAAACGTACCGTCTTCTGATGAGTTTTGCGGTGTTCCACAGGTGGAGTGTCTGACAGGGCTGAGACCGAGTCGCCCGTCTCTGACCCAGCCACCGAGGCAAGAGCCGGCAGGGATGGCTCGGCGCGCGGTGTCGCTCCGCGCTTCTCGTAGCGCCAACGCCCTGTCGTGCCCGCGCTGTAGCCCCCTCCGACGCCCGGCGGGACCGGCAGCTGGAGGGAACTGCACACCGAAGGGGGTCTTGCCAGGCGCACAGCCGATTCCGGAGAGGCCACAGATACGACCGAGTTCGTAGCCCTACCTATGGCCGACTGGTTGTCCGAGGGAAGACCTGGAATTCCCGTAGCGGAGAGCGCATTTAAACCCAGAAGATATGCACTTGCTCCATCTTTCCCTATCCACAGGAAGTACACAATTTTAGACAGATAAAGCAAAATGAGGCAGATGCGATTTATGCAATGATTCACAAACAGGCGATGATTTTACATGGTTAATGCAAACTTATTCGCGTGAGCCAACGAAGCATTCTAACGGAGTATCGGAGTTAATAAAGTGAGGACGATTTGTAAGTCGGTAGCCTCATGCTAGGACAAGCCATTTATACGCATATTTGTGCACATGTGTAAAATGACAAAATTTGGTCAGCTCAGTTTTTCTTCAAAGAGCAATTTTAACTAGGTGTTAGGACTTGCATTTTACGTCGTATAAAAGTCGTGCGTTCCCACAGATTTGACCGGGTGTCAAATTGGCAGGAGGCTGTGAAGCTATTTGCTCGCATTTAAACAGTTCTTCGGCGATATAATGCATAAGTTGTTATGATTAAAGTAACTGGCCGGAAATTAAATGGAGGCAAATAATGCCACCTTCTTCTCCTCTCTTGTTGCGTAAATGCGTCTTCTGTAACGAAAGAACCAACACCATAAAACGGGATCATATGGTAAATTTATTTTTGTGAATGCCCGAGACTTCAGTTAAAGAACCGAAGTAATAGCACTCTACCACAGAGAGCACTCAAGTAAATCCTCTCGCCTGACCCTTTGCTTGGTGGCCTTGTGCCACCCTAGCTTGATTGATGCGAATAAACATGAAAACCAGAAAATCGGCCAACCAATACCGTTGAAACGTCAGATTGAATTTGAATAGTCTTAGTTGCCATTGATTAACCGGTATTAAATATTAAATAATGTCAGTGCCTTTCTCACATATGACCCTTTTAAAAACTAAATTCACCTTTCATACTCTCCTCTTCACAGCTGTAGATGTATTAGGGGGTACTAATTTACATCCACCACTTTCAGAGTCTTGCATCGAAAATTTAGTGTTACTTGCAAGGCCAGAACCAACAGTTTGTACAAACCTAGAGACTTCGGTGGACTCATCTCGTAAGCCCAACCCGCTGGTATCCAGCCTGGTTGCTTTTCCAGGCGTGAAACGAGACGCGACAGCTTGTCCACGCTTTCGTTCATGTTACTGTTGACCAACGTGTGCGTATACAAGTGTTGTTGCCGAACCGCGAATAACTTTGACTCCTCGACAATATTCTGGATATCTTCATCCTAAAAGCACGTAAGATTTGTCATGTTATTAGCTAAAATAAGAGCACTAAGTTATAACACAACTTAAGTTCCAATTGGGGTACCCGACAAAATGGGTGATGGTAGACTCACAGGTTTAATGTGCGTGTGACTTATTTCGATACAAGGGCAACTTGGAAATACCTATAGAAAGGTGATGGTCAGTAAATCAAAGTCGTCACAAACCATTGGAATATTGTCATAACGTCAGCCACCAATAATCTACTTAACAAAATCGGAGTTTTGGTCAAGTGTGGTTGATGTCACCTGTACAAACAATCATTAATGATGACAGGAAAGTTTTCATGGGACCTGCCCTGTGATTCCTTTCTCCTGGAACAGAATTTTCAGAACAAAACATGACCTTTACTTATTGACAATAACATTTTTAAAGCAGAGTTGGTAGCACTTGCTACATTCTTATACAATATTTCTTCACCACTTGTCAGCAAACATTGAAAGGTGACATTAGAACCAATAACAAGATTTCAATTGATTGGGTAGAGATGAGTAAAGTAAATTACATCTAGTTGGCTATGATATAGTCAAACTTTTTATTTAACGATCAAGTTACATTTTGCTGCTACATCAACTACGAACCTCTTCATTTATCAAAAAAATCAAAAGCCGCATTGTTAATACCGACGTATTTCTCGATTTTGTTAAGATGTCTTGTGGTATCTTAACAGAACTACACTTGTGCTGAAGCTGACTTAACTAGTTCGAACAATAACATAAAAACAGGCACACAGCAACTCAAATTTTAAATCAGCTACGCTTCATCTTTATAAAAACACTCACTGTTCGCTTGTTTATCGTAAGGTTTTCCCGTATACCGATTTCCATCATGGCCTTGGCCGTTTCGAAATTGGGCGCGGAAACGAAGACAACATGCGGATTGAATTCAGGTTGGTGTAGTAGGTGGACAGACTAGGATGTGTGAAAATACACATTACATTGATAATACTTTGTTTTAAACCTACATCATGCAAGGAAATCAAGCATACCTGACACTGGCAATCGACCAATGCGGTTCGTCCCGCAGCTATTATTTCCCTAATAGCGGCGAACCGAATACCATAATGGTGACTATCTACAGTTCCCCATTCCACAAATGCGCCTTGTCGGATATCCTTTTCCATTTGTTCTTTTGTGCGTAGACGAAACAGGGATGGTGACGCATTGGGATCAGTGGTATCTGCATTACACGGAAAATGTCTTATGCAATTTATCCTTCTAATAGGAAAGAGAGAGGGCGTAACGAAGCCATACCAGATATGGGAAATGCAAATCGCTGTGGGTATTGGGTGCAGAGAAGGAATTTCAACGTTCTTCGACCAACGCCATTTGGACCAATAAGAAGAAGGGTGTGTACTGGAGAGGGTGGCCAAGGTACGACTTCCTCATAAACCCACAGATCCGAGCGCACCAAAAGGTCTGCAGGGAGATTTGACTTATCAACCTATAACAAGATGTCGCTTACCTGATGAATCTGCTGCGCGGAAGATGGATTTGACTTTTTTTGTCTTCTTGCTGGAATCTGCTAAAATTAGGGGTAAAATGAGCATACCCAGGGAAACCAGCAGTGTGTGGTACAAAAAAATTAGAGAGGATTGTTGCGTGGGCAAAAAACTGACAGTTACAGGAGTTCCTCCCCGGAAACGTCTTTAAACTGAATGTGAATCACGAAAGCGTAAAAACACTCGTGCTTTTTTCCGTTGGCGTTAATGTTAAAAAAACAGGCATACTTTTAAAAGAAAACATCGCAACCTGATCCGAAGTCAATTACCTGAAGTTACCTAGAGCAAACAAAATATGCTTGCAAAAAACCTTTTAAGTTCGTGTGTACAAAGTGGGTTTTGAGCATTGAGTGATGATTTTAAATAAAGACATAAGCAAAGGTAAAAGTATAAATAAAGTAAGGCTACATCACGAATGCAGGTTCATTAACTTAAACGAACTCGTTTCTTCACTCAATGGGGTGGTGATTCGTAGCAGTGAAGCTTAATAGGCACATTCTCTCGATGAATCATACTTTTAACTCACTCTAAAAGATAATGGTCAGAACTTAGGTATGATTAACGCACACCTAAAACTATTCACTAATTTGACAAAGCCTAGAATTATATTCAGTTGAACGAGAAATGTAGAAACCCTTCGACAGCAAATCAAATGAGCGACATGATGCTGACAGAGAGCCGGGTCTTCACGCCTCTCCAGCATTGGCAATGTGCCGCACACAAGGTTAGTGAATGGGGATCAGAGGTGGAGGCAGTCGGTAATTCACCATTCGTAATCTAACGAACTGTTGCATCGAATTTCTGTGGCGTCACAATTCACGTGGATGCATACAGAAATTTGGAGTTTTTCGCTTCAGTTCTAAATCGGCGATAAGGCTGAAGGTACACTAACACCCCAGCACAAAGAAATCAAGTCAGTACAATGCCAAGTCAACAACGTGATTTCACTCAAGAGGTCTAGTTGATGATTGAAGTATTTTAACACCAGAAAAGACATTTAAAAAGTTAAACACGCTTATTTTTATTAAGAGTAGTCAATTTCTAATATCGCATCTCTCCCCTTGATGAGGAGATCTTCACGGCCGGGATTACTGTTAACTTTTAAATGTCATTAACCGTTTGTAGACCCTGAAAGTAAAAATCCCTTTCATGTGTTACAGTTTCTTTCACTCACCTAGATCAACGGCGATTGATAATACGCACTGTGTGGTGTAACAGTATCAAAGTCAATGGTTTCGGTACCCTGCCACAATTTAGTAGCAATTAATGCATTTACACCATTAAAGACATGCGTATTTGCATGTCACACTTTGGAATTGTATGTATCTGAATGGTTAGGGCTTGTATGAACGATTCCCACCCTCTTTGCTGTATTTTAAGGGCCATTGTCAGGATAAATTCGAAACTCACGTTTTGAAGCCTGTTGATTAAAGGCTTGACGGCGTTCCTCTAGCGTTTGAGAGGGAACCAGGCCAACATTTGAATCTGCACCATCAAGCCTTCTAACCTGCCACCAATTGAGGTCTTGTGAATCCACCAACTCCAAGACATCGCCGCTTTTAAAAGGTATCCCCAAATTCGCGTTGGGCAACAGTGTGTCCTTTATCGGGTCATAAGTGAACATGCAACGGATATAAACCTACACAAATAAGGCCAAATTAATGCATTTTAAACACAGAAAGGGTCACTTTAATATTAAATCATATTACTGATAACGCGACATGTCATTATTGGCAGACAAACACAGTGGCCAAAAAAACATTTATTGACTTGCAGCACTTTCATTTTGTATATCTAAATTGGTAACACAATAGGTATTTCATCTTTTAAAAATAAACTGTGTGATAAAAACAAATCACTAATGTGGTTGGATTGATCCTTGTAAGTAATCTTCAGACTTGTTTTTCAGTCTGAAACCATTAAGTTACTCCAAGTTACTAAGCAATATTTTTGGGTGCGAAATGCTGAAATACGGCATTCAGAGATTTCCCTGTAACCTCACCTTGTGTTCTGGCCGATTGCGGTTGAAGAGATGAGCTTTCAACTGCCCTATTCTGGGGGTTCGCACAACTAACTTCAACTCCAGATTTTGTGATGCATTTCTCATCGCCATCTGGATTGTTTCCAATGAGGTAGCAATCATCCCATTAAATTCAATGATTTCGTCACCAGGGAACAAGTTTCCATGCCTGTCGGCCAGAGAATCCACCATCACCCTCTGAATTACTATCCTCGGGAGCTCCTTGCTGGCCTCTCGATGACCTTGCTTTCCAAGAAGAGAGAGCAGCGATCCACTGCGTGTCGGTGGCGGAGATGCGGATCTTTCGGCCAGAGTGATTCCCAAAGGTTCTCCAGGTATTCTTCGGGTGATGTGAATGGTTCTTATCTTCCCGGGCTCAGGAATGCTATTTTCAATGTAGGACGGGAGAGCGGGGTGTCTGGCGCGTGCCCCACCAGCTCGGCGACCAAGACTGTGGCACGGGAACTCGTTGGAGGGTGTCTGCGGAGGCGGCCCGGGGGATGGGGGGTGGCGGTGGTGGTGGCGAGGGTCTGTGGCGGCCGAAGTGGAAGAGGTGCGACGAGGTGGTTGCGGTGAGGGGCGCTGTCGTCCGGACATTGGTGGAAGGTGACGGCTGTTCCCAATGGGAATTCTTGTGTCACGATCGACATGCTCTTGTGGCTTCTTCTTGCAAACAAAAATAAATTACGAAACTTGAATGTTGCAAATTTCCGCGTAGTATCATAAGGTAACACAAATTTAAATCGCATGAAAATTAGATTAAAAATCAACTCAGGGCTAGGTTTATAAGCCAAATAGGAAAACTTTTGATCAAGAAAGTGTGCTATTGAAATTAGATTTCAGCGAGCATCGTCAAATGCAAGACAAAACATTGATATCCATATGGAGACCCACAATAATTGGAATTCCTCGTGGCATTATCAAACTGGTAGAACTGAGATAAGATCATTTTGATAGCAAAAAACCAACCACCCACGCATAAATGCCTGGGCTATCGGCCAGTGGGAGCAGAGCCTGGCAATGTCCAATAGTACCACAGGATGCAAACACTCAAACCAACCAAAATTCATTCTTTAGTATCAAATTTATTTAATTTCGTGATGGTTCCAGTTGAAAACGAGATACTTTAGCGAAAGATCTGCTCACTTCAAGATGTTTTGAGAAGATTGTATAGGTAAAAGATGACAGGATTCGGTGGGTGTTATTGTTAGATTTAAATGCAAGGAAAATCACTGATAAGGTTGGGAACAGAACGAGGCGGTCTCGGTAACTGTGGTGGATAAGCGTGCAAACTACGCTGAAGTCTAAGCTGCAAGCCCAATTTCAAATACTGTCACATGAACTTCGAGGCCAGAAGATTGGTCTATTAGTCAGTGCCTTAATTTAGGCTACGCACGTAAATTTCGACATAATATAATTGTTTTTCCTATGTCATTCTTGTAAAAGTGCCAGACTAAAACTATAATAGTTTCTTTTAAGCCACAAGGTTAACTATTCGGGTTCATCATTTCTTTTGCTAAATTGCAATTAAATTTTTAGTTATTTTCTAGAAGAACTTGGAAAATATGTGTACTTAAACAGCCCTCCAGTAATTATTCCCATAATCGCTTAAAAGACATGCTTGTGGACTAGGGAGTCTATGTAATTTCAGCCACTTGTCGTAAGTACACTGTTCCCTTCAATAGACCGGTGTATTCGGCCATCTGCTACATAAGTGAAGGTCTGTCCAAAACAGTTTTTGGCATCAGTGCAGGACGTTAATCGTTCCACTCTGTACTGGTTTCACCAGGTATTTTCTATTTGCTTTTCCGGTTATGTCAGTGGTAAGTAGACCTCTAGTAAATATCACTTGCGTTTGTCTCCACAGGATGGAGTTTTTGTATTAAAAAAGACGTTCAGCGTCACGCTCCACGATCACGACATATATCTGCTGATGGGGTGAATTTCAGCACCAGAGCAGTGTGGACACATTAAAGGCTAATCATAACTAGGTGCACCGTCGTTGCTTACGGTCAAGTGGACGATGGGCGTTCCTCCGGCGACCTGAGGCTCGGAAATGGAGGAAGGGTCTGCGGGCAGGGAGGATATGGAGAGGGGCTGATCGAGCGTGTCATCACTCTCCCCGGAGCCCTGCTCCTCTGCGCCCAAGACTGGCTCCGCCTCCACGTAGACTGGCACCGAGACGGCGTCCACTTCCACGCGGGCGGTGTACCGACCGCTTCTTATGTCATCTACAGCTATTAGCAATTCCTGCAAATCCAAAAAAAATGAACTGCATGGGTGAATGTGATTCCAAGTAAATGATGGCTTTTACTTGAATTATTTCGGTTTCTGATCAAGATACCATCAGCTGCAGCTACAATGTGTGAATAAAAGTTTATGACCAACTAGTAGGTAAACAGAACAAGTCTTACAAGTAATTAGGCAAATTGTGCACAATACAAAATGATGAAGTGGGTAGGTGTCGTGGAAGGCTTACAAACGGAGGTGCCTCACCACCTCACCTCGTTTGCACAATAGCTCATTTGAAAATCGAGCACAAATAATAGCAACCACACAATGCGTGAAACTTTTATGAATCATTTTGAAGTCAATAAGGACTTAGGGGTTGTGAAGAGGCAGCCGACTCTGTCATGACCAAAACAGATATCCACACAAGCCTTGACTTTTCGCGGAGAATTTTATACTAAGGGAATTTCGGATAATGAGGGAGTTAAAAATAAGACATTTTTAATTCAAGACGAACACTAAGTGTATGCCAATCGGGGCTACAAATCATAAGTAAGAATGGCGACTAGGTTTTCTAGATAAGAAACTGTTTGCAAGACTGAACATTAGGACCAATTGGCTTTTATTAGTGCCTTAAATTATTTAATATTTAAAACAAGGAAAATCTGTGACAAAATAATGCAAAACACTCCAAAAGCAGCTTTGTATGATTTTATGATCGGCTTTTCAACTATTACGAATTTGTTGACAAAGCAATTATTACTAAACCACTTTAAGTACCATGTTAATCCCTTGCGACAATAAAATATGGGTCATTTTGAATGCGTAATAAAACATGGTTGAGATACAGGGAGAAAAGAACACGCCTCCTTAACAGCTTGAACATCACACGTTTTGTGAGGTCATAAAATGCAGGAATGCAGGAATATCTCATCCCCGGTTGAAATCAATCAAGTTTAATTGAAATAGCAGAAGTACATGTAATTCGGGTGATTCTCATTCGCATCGACAATCGGTGCGTCTACACACAGGACAGAGGACAGTCACTAAGATCATGGAAATCACTGAAATCATACATTTTCATTGTGGAAATCGAATTGACGATGTCCATGGTCCAAAAAAGTTAGTGCTTAGATCGCTTTGTTGAAGGCGACCTAACTAAAAGTCTGTATTTCGCTGCCATCAGATGACCGGTTTTCGTGAAAATTATCGAAATGGGAAAATCCAAGGTAGGAAATTCCATTTATTATTTATTAAAGCAAGTTCAGAGGTGGCTTCGATTGTATACCAACGTAGCTACTATATTTGGCTAGGTATAAGGCATGCGTTCTTGTTAACTTAGTTCCCTCAACTAGCGCGAATCGTAAGGATTTTCGGTCCAAAATTATATCGCATACAGCATTAGTCGTGCTATCCTGTCCAATAGAAAATGGCAAATCTATGCTTTTCGAAAATGCAGCAAACAGCCAGAACAAATACAGCTGTAAAAAAGTAATTTCAAGGATCCTTGCCAAACAATGGTGGGATGTAATTATTTAGCACAGGAAGATGGAGATATTAATAAAAATTTGACGAAGCCTTATAGCTGTGACAGCAGAATTACATGCGCATGTAGACAAAAACGTCACTGTGTCCGATTTCAGTTTCTAAATTCCTTTTAAAAAGAAGAAAGCATGGGGTTGATAACCTTGACACCTTGCCCAGTTAGTTAAACCACTGAGGCCTTTAAGTCACTGAGGCCACAGAGTGATCAAATCACCTTATAATCTTCCGTGTTTGACGATTATAATTTTTTGAAAAAATCAACAACCAAATTTGTGCCTTTTTATGAAAAAAAATTTAAACTCGCTAATGAATGGATGGGTGTTCTAGGCAGTTAATTTTTCAGTCTTTTGTACTGACTGAGTACGGGAAGATGACGCCGTGGCTCATTGCTTAGCGACAACCCTGTACTGCCATTTTCATATTAGCTCACGGTTTCTTGGGTTGCACTTGAAAAGGAGCTAGAACAGGTCTTTGTGCATCAACTATTAGTCAGCGGTGTTCTTACTGTTGCAACCAAGGTTCATACTGCGTGCTTTCAAAATTTCCCAAAATGGCAGTAAAAGAAATGTCATTCAACAACACTCACTTCTGCTTACCCTAACATATTCATCCGAGAGAATTTTGCACAGTTCTCGCGCGTCCGAATGCCTTTCTGCGCCGGATTGCGCCAGCAGTCGCTCAAGCTCGCGCCATGCGCCATTCAATGCCACCAGACAGCTCTGGTCGTTGGAGTGCTGTGGTCGAACTCCAGGCGTAAGGCTTGTGGGAGAAGTGCCGTCAAGAGACCTTTTCGAATGTTGACTTGCCCTTGCAACCACATCGACCAACTGAATGTAAAGCCAAAATTTCGGTCGTATCATGAGCATGCCATAAAATAAACGCGACAAATGACCCAAAGAAGAAGTTGTTTTCCCATCAAATGAGCTTACTATGTAAACTCTCATACTACATTTGGTTAAATTCGCGTGGTACAGCCCAATTAATTGGAAGGTAATCGGTCACGGGTCTTGAAACTCTCGTCAATTCATATTTACTGTGAGAGACCAAGGTGAGAGCAATTCACGCTCGATTGGGATTAATAAGAAGGATCGTATCTCCATCACTTACGTTGAGAGATTTCTTAACTTCGCTAGATGCAAGGAATCTCCTCAGAAAACTTAGGCTGTCTTCTGTGACAACTTGGGCCACGGGTTCAGTTAAATGCTTGTTGAAGACACTGGGTTTCCCCAAATAGTACTGAAGTAAGTTGGCTGCACCTGAAAAACCTGCAAGGAGAACCAAGATTAGTCTAAATTAACCCAAAAGGCCAGTACGTACACGCACTAGAGTTGACTTCAATCAAATTCATACTAACTTCCCCATTAATTATCCGATGAGACTGGTTGATTAAAGAAGAATGCAGTTTTTAATGCCAACATAAAGAACATGTTATTTTTTTACAATACTATCTTAATGGGACTAAGCTGAATAAATAACGTTCAACTGCATTGACAAGTACGTTTTCCTTTAAAATAACCTTACTGAATTTTACTATAAATGTGTGTGAGCATAAGCACTACAGGAGTCTTCCCTGAAATGCGGCCAATTAGGCTTAGGCCAGTAATAAAATGAAGTGCTTTTGCAACTTTGATAAAGGTATGCCATCCCTTGGCGCGTGTTGCTCTAAGGTCCATGGATTACTCCAGCATGACATTTCATGGGTGCGTTTCAGGAAATTGTTTCTTCTTTACATGTTTAGTGACACCCTCCTGTGGCTAACTGAAAGGCAAAGAAGCGGTTGAAGGAGCATATTCATTGTCTGTGGCCCTGTACCAACAGCCGGTGACACGATCAGGGGTCTTGGTACCTTGTGTGCGACTCAAGTCTTCGAAGAATGACCCAGAGGTCTAAGGAAATTTATTACAACACATCCCTAAATGATACTCTGCCAACCACGATAGTCACGCGTTAAGCTATTTTAAATGCTTGGTGTTGGGGCAATGAGCAATTACTAAATGCACATAAAATCCGCGCGTTGGAAATAAAAAAAATGTCTATGGAAATAATTCCTTGAGGAAGCAATTTTTCATCATCTGACTTAAAGCAAAGCATCGAGACAGTTAAAGTCTCGTGAAGATACCGTTAAGGGTATTAAAACCAATAGAAATTTTCCACTTATCTAAGCCGTAAGAACTTTGCATACCAGTATACTTAAAAAGCTGGGAAAAAGCTTTTATATATACTTAAGTAGATATCTCATGCATCTTTTTAGGTTGCAAGAATTCCCGGGAATGTACTACCAAAGAGTTTTGAATTCGTTAGACCACAGCGAATTTTTACTTTGCCTTTATATAGTACTTTACTTGTTTCATTTTTAATGGAGTTGTGTGTTCCTCCGTAGGTGGATGCCCTCTAGCCAGCCAATGAAATAAGTGCTACCGATGAAACTAACATTAGTTTATGCTGTTTGCATTAACCCGTTACGCATCAAACAAAAGCACAGCATAAAACACCTTATATTCTTGACTTGGTAGAAAATTTGCCGGTCCAATGAAAGCAACACGCTGAATGTTAATTCTCATTGCAAAAGAGTTAGGAAATTCTACGGGAACTTGATCACACTAAAACACCGAACCATATTTTTGCATAATTGTAGCCATATGAGGCACTTCCGACTACCCAGTACATGCCCACATAACAATGCGATTAAAAAGGTCGCCAATATACTATTAGAAGCGTAAGAATTAGGCACTTTAAAACCAAATTATCCTCCAGTTGGCAAAATGGCAGGAGTGGTCACTTTAATCCGCGGTAGGATAGCGCTATTTTTATGGGTTATTACATGTTATGGATGTGCTCCGTTCTCAGTTGCAAATTTAATACATCTTAACTACGTACTTTTAACAAAAATCGAAATTCCAGTTAATCTGTCCTAGAAGTAGTGAATAGGATAAAAGGTACTTTGGTCTACGTAACCTGTGAAAATTCATCTTTTGGTTCATAACAGCACAAACGTGCTAAATAGGAGAACTCGTGGAAGTGCTTGCCTTCATTTGTCGGAAACACTGACATCGTCAGTTTACCTTGTGGGACTCCACCTTGTAATTCCCCTTCTGTTGATTCTCGATCGGAGAGATCTATCTAAAACTAAAATGTGGAGCGTATGTAGTATCAAGTGATGCACTAACCCCTTTCCTCACTGAACCTTATTTTTATTGTTCCCTGGGACTGACACTTCGCTACCAACGCAGTTGCCGATTACCGCTTCATCCAGCATTACTAAATGCCTTATTTGTATCTGCATTTTTCGGACTTTGAGATACAGGCATACCGAGGCGCGCCCAATGTGTGACGCTAAACTATGACCAAGCACTAACAAATGCAAGTCCTCGAAAGTCAAGATGAATGCAATCACTGAGCTTGTAGCCCCCAACCTCTGCGAAAACGGCCGTCCGTAAAAACGGAGATTAGTAACCAACCATGGGACGCTGTGACTGCAAGTGCCACAACTCGGGTATAAACATCGGACAGGATTTCGCCCGAAATGAGTCATAAATTGGCAGCGATTCAGTAGCTTTGGACAGCAAATTAGTTCAATTTAAATGAAACGCTGATTTTTAGCAGGGCAAGCAATTATAAGCTATTGAAATACACTTTAAGAGAATTTTTCGGTTTGCTTGAAATGTTTCAGGCTTCAGTCTAACAGTGGGGGCGTTCCGACCGCTGCGTGAGTGCGCGGGTGAGTCAGCTCAGGCAAATGTGATAAACACTTTTTGGCATTACGATTCGCAATGACGGCGCCAAAAGATGAATCACAATTCGTGAAATGAAGCATTGTGTGAGAAAAAAGTCGAAGCCACAAAACCGCATTAAGCAAAAGTTGCAAGCTGTGTATCCCCTCCTGCACACCATCTCCCCGTTTGTTCTGTTATAGCTACTGAATAATGAACAGTTGTAAGGTGTGAGAAGCCCAAGTCTAGCAAATTTTGTCCAAGTCAGTTAGAAGCGAGGTTTGATTTTTTGCACAAGGTGTCTATATAGCAAACTTTTGATTATTCAAATCACACGAAACGGAACCCTCATTTAAAGTTTCTAGAGTATGTAAGAATGAAAGCAATGCTACTTGGCACACACACACAACGGTCTATTGGGCATAGGTAACGAACAACCCAGAAATGCGCGGATTTTAGTACGGCTGCTTATCGGGCGGACATTAGCATTATCAACTGCGAAAAGGGAGGTCTCATCACTCCCCTTAAACACCAACCAGGGTTAAATGAACGTGAAACACGTAAACTTTGCCGGTCGAAACTAGCCAGTGAAATCAACTTTAATTACAAGAGAAAGGGAATAGCAACTTCGATTACATCACTAACAATACACGCGTAGTAAAAATATAAACCAGGCCCAAACAGTCTGTCTAAAACAGTGTAATCATTGGTCTATAGTGACTAGGACAATATTTTAGGCAAAAAACCCAAACACAAGTGCAAATCGTTGTGCAGCACAGTAAACTTTCTGTGAACTAGAACTTCGTGACCCAATAAAATGAATTAAATCACTGTGGATGATATATTTAAAATGCTGTTATTTTATGCATTAAATGAAAGGCTTAGAACATGGATCAAACATGATGCAAGACAGCAATTTAGAAAAAAAGTCCAAACACATGAGTCTTGTCGAGTCGTGGGCTCTCATGAGCAGCACGAATCCTTGAGAATACAATTAACAGTGAGAAAAACAAAAGAAAAACAAATTTAAGCACCTTTTGTTACCGTCTTTAAAAACTATCTGTTTGAATAATAATGAGAAAAAATTTTTGACGCTAGGTGGTTGGCCAGTGACCGAATCCCAAAAATTAAACAGGTGATTCCAACTTTATGATCCAACAAGGAAAAGGGCAGGAATAATTTTTTTTCCTAGTAGACGGATTGCCTTTGCAAACACACCCTTTGAACCACACAATGAGAGGTACAAAGGCGAAAATAGTCGTAGTTTGCCTAACTGGGTTCTGCAGTTAGTGTGCTGTAAAGAATTAGATCATGGCTTAAAATTGTCATCCAACAATTTTGAAAACTTGAAACTCTATGCATCTAAGTATCATAGTTTTGTTGCCAAAAGTTTGAGGTAGTTAATCAGGTTACTTTAGTCCTACAAATCAACTATATGAGATACGAATGTAAAGAGGATCAAGAGGGATGGTCTAGTAAAAGTTGAGTAAATTATGTCCAGTAAATCATGTAAGGTGGGTCAGAGTGGTACGATTGTGAAAACGGATTATGAACTGCAAATTATCTCGTAGTTTTTGTCATAGCACTTACTGGTCTTCTCAAATCGCAATCATGGCAGTCTATCATTGCTGCTTTTAATTTTCAATAAGATGACATCGACGATGAAATTTCGATCAGCCCAGGCAACTCTGTTAACCATGTGTGCCTCAACCGACCTTTGTGTCTTTACGACTTTTACCAATTTTCACCAATTATCAATCATTGGTTAGGCTGGATATTTCCTCTCGCATTGTACTGATAGATCAAATTTTTATCCAAGTTAAAATTTTGACCGAAATCAACAAGAACAAAATTGCTACAATTATCTGTTGCATGATTGCTCTGGTCGTTAGGAGGCACACCACCTCCTAATGGTAAAGAGCTTGCAAAGTATTCCTTAATGTGGCCCAGAAACTGCAAAAAGACAGTCAGAACGTAAAAATTTGCCAATATCGATGTCCAGTAGATTAAAAGCTTCAAAAATGACATCTTGACGAGAAACTGACGGTTAAAACGTGATCCCTTTATCTACAAAATCCAACTGCTTTGAAAATTCACGTGAAATCAGTAAAATTACCAACGCACATATGGTGAAGAGGCCATGTAATTCATAGTTTATGACGTACACAGACGAATCCTTAGCAGGGTCAATATCCTCAAGTGTTTAAAGTGGAATCACCTTCTAAATGCACGTCAGCATACTTACTAATGTTGAATTGAATTGACCTTTAATCCACATGCTTAAGTGCTAAAACTACAAACAAGGTAGCCTAAATTTAACTTGGATTATCCGTCTCAAATCAAGTAGTGAATATAACTTATGCAAAAGTATTCATTAATTTGGTTCAATTCGAGGTCTGTAATCGGAACTGACGGAAAACGAGGTCTTATTTCACCGACCAAGGGGCTTGCATGAAGAGGAAGTTGCCAAAAACGCCTCAAGTTTTTTAATAAAAACAAGGCAGATTTTCTTAGAAACGGGGCTATAAACTCCTTACATCAAGCCGCCAATTCACTGTTTTTAATGAAATCATGTAAAACAACACCATGTAATTTTATTCTGAACGAATCTCTTTTGCTTCTACGTTAACCATTTTTGCGATTTTTAGCTGAAATGCACGCATTTTAGGTTTAACCCTGTCACAAAAACTAAAAAAAACTAACCAAATCAGAGAGCCTGTTAAATGCAGACTACGCGCGTGCCTCCTGCCAGGCAATTCGCAGTTTTGATAGTTGATTCCTCAGTTAAATTCAATCAAGCAAGGAAGTTGGACAGGATGTCAAGCTCTTAGAATGTAAAACGAGGTTACTTTAAATGTGCATTTAATGAAGAATCGATTTACCATGGAATGGCCTATTCGCAAAACGTCTATGTGTGAAGTTAGTTGTAAATTAACATTTCAACATATTTTGCCTTCAACTACCAATCCCGGGAACCAAGGCCTATGGGTCACGGGGACGTGGAATATGTGACAAACCAGGCTATGGCCAAATGCAACGTTTAAAAACAGTTGTTTGTTACATTAAGAGTAATTAAGACAGTTCAAGTATTGCAGTCATTACAACAGATGCCTAATATATCACGGTAATGCGATACACAGACTTTCTTCGGGGCTTTCAGTGATTCGAAGGACCAAATCGCTTTTTCCCACGTGGTCGCAATTTACGCTGTTGCAAAGCGTCGAACACAAAGTAGGGGGCCTGTGGATGTCAAATAGCTTGACGCCTAATGTGACATGGAGTAAATATGGCAGAAAATCAGTTTAGCGGATTTGCGCAAGAGCCCCATGAGATACCAAGGGTGTTTTTAGTAAGTAAATACTAGAAATGTAAGCTTTTAACAAAAGGAAATTTTCGCTTGAAAGATAACTATTTTTAACAAGTACATTATGTACACATAGATAAATGTTGTACTTTGGAAAAATCCTTGTACAGTTAACGCGGAATGCGATAATGGCATTTGTTCTGCTCATGAGTAGGCATAATACCTGTCATTTCTGACTTTAAATAGAAACAAGGAGAGAATTTGGTGTACCGTCATATTCGTGCAGTGGGTTACAAACCAAGTAAATTAACCCTTCCTACCACAATCCAAGCGATTTTTGGCAACGAACAGCTGTTGCTAGCATCATGACACGGTATGGGAGTGGAGTCGGTTGCCAGTGTGGTTTAACTAAGCAACGTACCCGTTGATTAGTATTTTATAGTGACAGTGAAATGCCGGACCTAGAAGACTGAAGAGAGAACTTCCGTGAAGTCCGGGAGCAAGTTCTTTATCAACTTAAGTGTCAGGGTCAACTTGGTTAAGGCCTGATTCGCCGTAGCGACGGAGAAATGGCGACACCATCAGTGGAAAGATAGTGATAAAAAGTGACCAACTGTGCTTCGCAGTGGCGACAAGATTTAGAGTGTGGGAATCAGCACTGAAATTGGGTTTGTAGAAAACTGCTCTAAGCATGATCCTCACAACTGACCAGAGTGTGGTGCCAATACAATGTTTGTCTCTAAGACGAGCATATCCCTGAGCCTTGCATTAGAACAAATCAGGTTGAGTGAATATCAGGTTAAGCTGTTTCATTTTTTAGGACGCACGAGCGCACGTGCTTGCACGTCACTCCAAGTTCGAAACCAACGCGTCACTTTGTACAATCTACAGCAGGTTCCCGAAAGATTAATGCATTCTATGGGCTTGGAGCGAACATCAGTAGGCACGCTTGAGAGGGCGTACGATCATGACCTCACTGTGCAGTTGTCAGTGAGGTCTTGGGCACCACAGGAGTGCCCAAGATATGGATCGACCCGAAAATGTGCTTGGGCCCTACTATCAATGACGTGACGTGTTGAGTTCGCGTCAATTGTGAAATGCACTGCAAGAGAACAAACCACTTGGCTTAAAATCCCGGCTAAGTCAAGCCGCGAATTGCCGATGGAGTGCGACACGACCTGCCACACTTCATTAGACCTTGGGGAGACCTTTCAATTAGTTTTACACATCACGTGACATGAGAACAGTTTAACCGTAAAATGGTTAAATCCTTTGCAAAAAAAGCTTCATTACTAGGTTTAAGGTACGGATTAACTATTAACACATATCGATTTTCTTACTAGCTGTGCATTAGTGTTAGCAAGGAGGTAAATCTTCCGGAATTTAAAAAAATACCAGCACTTTTCATCCAATTAATCGTAGTAGAGAACTGGAGCATCAACACGTAGCCGTTAAGAACAACTCCGCATCACACTGGCTCCAAAAAGTATGCGGTCACACATCACAAGTGCGCGTGCAAACAGTAGTGAGTAAAGCCATAAGCCAGCTTGTGGTTAAGTGCCGGGAAGGGGATTGGGCCAGACAGAAGTCGAGTCTCCTCAACGCAGTACGTGTATACTTCACTGTAGTCCATTTAAATACAGGCCCAAGAAATAAAGTAAAACAATAAAGCGATGAGAAAAACAGCGCAAATGAAAATGGCTACAGAGAGATGATAAGATCTTTAAGGATGGCGCTAAACGCATGCAACGTGATTGGGAGGGTGGAAGTAAAGGCATTAGAAGATTGGGAGATGGGCCAAGAGCAAGAGACAGTGAGTGAAAGACTTCAATGGGATGATCTTGCAATGGGTGAATGGGAAAATGGCAGAAAGAACACGCACTACGAAGAGATAAAACAGAATTGTGAATAAATGCTAAACAGTAGTTGCGTTTGTGTGTTTGAAATGGTAAATGTGTGGGGAAATCGTTAGAAGGGAGCTGGCGGGTGGAAGACCCGCAGTGGGGCCGCGTCGTAAGGAATGGGAATACTCGAAAGGACTGTAGCGCGATGAGGCGGTGGTGGCGGAGGGAGGCGCGCGGCGGCGACAAGCGGCGAAGAGACGTCCGCCGACCGTCTGAAGGTCGAGAAGGCCGTGCGCAGTTTGCCACGCATTACAGATGCCGAGGGAGAGGAGAGAGGATTCGGTTTAATTGGTGCCACGGACGAAGGGCCAATGGGACCATTGGGATGCTGAAATAAGCGAAACCACAACTAATCAGATATAGGACTTTGGGCTTTTGAAGCTGTCTCTTCCTAATTATTTATGTGTGATGAATAATGTCTCCACTGAAAACCTGGAGCTTAGTTCGGTGACACAAATTGAACTACGATGTGATGATGAAGTACTTGAAGCATAACGCCATTCCCAGGATGAATTGAAGCGAATAACCTCCGTAGGTGTCATGCAAGAGGATTTACAACAGTATCCCACCAAGGATACAATGCACAACGGTAATGGGGTTCAGAAGAACGAAAACTATTTATGCGAAACGAACTTAGCTTAAAAAGCCAGACGTTAAGGTAGACCTTTCAGCATTAGAAAAGCATTTAATTCAGCACGACAGTCACAGTGCCTACACTTGGAGGACTTGGGGTCTATATTCTGACTAACTACGTGTATGCAACAATGGCTACAACCTGGTGCCTTTCAAATGACCGAAATGTGTAGGAAGTTGTGACTAGTAACTTTTCTAAGAGTCTGGTCCAATGCTAATATCAGCTGAATTTATCGGTGCTAGCCAAAGGATTTTAGCTTGCCGTCTACACGATCGGAGGCACTGGAATGGGTTAACTCATAACCGGAATGGGGTTAAACATAACCAGTAAATTGGGAGCCGTGGCGTGGCATCGAGCTTGATAAGCATTGGTGACACTAGCTTAAGGCTCACCAAAAAATACTTTCACACAAAAAAGAATTATGCACACTAATTTTAGATAAGCAGCAGATCCCATAGGCAGCAGACTTTTGAAAAATTTGAGATTAATGCTGACGAATGATGAACTTAAACCAATGTCTAAATATAGCACGGGTAGCTTGGGTTTAAGCAACCCTCTGGAAACGAAGTTACCACAAAAGATATCACGTATTCGCCACCAGTTTGGAAGACGAAGAAAAATCAAGTGAGTGATTATAGACAACGCGAAGTGCTTCATCAGCCAAAGTCAACGTGAAATGATTGTAGGCGAAAATGGACCATATGGACTCGTGTTTGTGAGGGGCAGCCTTCATGCACACCTCGAACGTAAAAGATTACCGCCATGGGTGCTAATGATGTTAGAGAAATTGAGCCATACAAACGCAACAAGTCCCTTCACCAGAAGAAAAAAACGAGGGGTCAATTTGTGTTGGTGCAAATGGGTTTGCGGGTGAAGGTTAGAGTGACTCAACTTACCAATCCGTCATGGTCTGCGTGCACGACGCTACAACACAAACCAACTCCGAATAAGACGAATAAAAGAGACCAGAGTCAAAATATTGTCAGACTACGTGCCAATGTGCAATTGTTCCCCAATGTCGGTAAATTAAGTACGTACTTATAGATATTTCATTTATTAGAGTTAAATTAAAAGGGACTCAGCAAAGCATTATGTATCAATTAAGGTACACAACCGATCTTAGGGAAAAGGCCCCTCGATCACCGGTGAAAACACTAACTCGTGGTGCACCTGGAGTTAGACGCTGTCAATTCGAACATGGCTTGGAGTCGGTCCCCTCGGTGTAAATTTAGACATGATAGGTCCTCTGCATGCAACAGTTGAGCAACTTAGGTGTGTCAAATGAAGACAATAGCTGAATTTGTCGAAACACAGTCTTAAACCAGAAATTCTACAAGCTTGTTAACCCCTGATCTATCGACAGCCTAAAGGATTATTCGACCTTCCATTTTGCAGGGCTCGCTCCAAAGGGCTTTAGAACTTTTCTTTCAGATGTTTTAAATAACTTGAAAGTGCAAGTAATGTTAGAAAATGATAGTTTTCGAGGCAGAGAAGACTTCGGTTCAGGAAATCGTGTGATTTACAAACGTTATCTAATAAAGAACCATTCAGCGGAAAAAATAAGGCTCGGGCATTTGTTAACTCAACTTGAACTTCCGAAATGCTTATACCTAGGTAGATAGTCGATCAAGAACACATGAAAGAGCAGTCAATTGCCCATGGTTCCACCCTCCTCCAAGATTTATCAAGTTGTCCGTTCGGTGTCTGCCATTAGTCGAGGTTGTGCACCAAGGGCGACACCCACAAGTTGGCCTGGGTTCACGTGGTGCTTAAAAAGGCGTCGTCACACGCGCGTAGAATGAGGGGGATTAGACAATGAAACAGACGACTGCACACATCGTGTAAATAAACCGTTCGAACATGGAGACAGTGCTAGAAAGTTGTGTAGATGTGGATGCTAACGCAAACTGACAGTGAAATGCAACATTTCAATTAGAGTTCACCCAGTTTCACACAATTCTAGGTTCTCGAAAGGCGATTAAAGATGTCCAAAGTTACATCAGTCAATGACCTGACGCAATATTTAAACTTTTACCTGAACATCGGGACAAGTAAACGCCACTTCGAGTAATCGCTCAATAAATGTATTGTGGCTGACGAGGCGTGAAATTTCACTACGGAATCGGATGTGAAAGTAAAGGCGGGTAATTCCAAATAGCTTTGGTATTACTACACTCCAGGCATGTTTGGGATTCCAAGTACAAGTGGAAATGCGAGAAAATTATGAGATTTGATTCCACCGCGCATAATCATTCAGGCACAATATTTGAGAAAGATAAGTTACAAGCTAGGCGACAGGACAGTCTTCGTTAATCACCTAAGACCACAACTTAATGCGGAAGCAGACAGCAACGCTTGAATTCATCGCCAGCTTGGCTTAAAAAGATACTTGGCCTCGAACACATACTGTACGGCATGAGTCATGCCCGACTCCTTGCCAAATGGACACAGGCTAACTCAGACTCGTTAAAATTCCGAGACAGCGCCGATTAAAATTGTTTCAGTTTGAAAGGCGTAATAACGCTGCAGACATGGCAGGCGTAAATCTAAAATAACTAAATACGGGTGTAGGGCAGGGTTTTATGAAATCTAAGTGAATGCCCGTTGCACCCTGCGTGGATGCGTGACTGTAACCTTTTTCCGGAATATCACATATTTGGTCAGAGAGAAGGAAACAAGCAGTAAGGTGCAGAATTGTGGAAGTAGCCATGAGCCGAATAAATACCCAGGCGACAAGGAGTGAAGCATTTTGAGGCAAAATCCCGCCTGAGGAGTCAACGAATGGCAATCACAAAATAGTGGTTTGGTGAAATGAGGTAGAGAAAAAATAGGAGGCTATCTCGAGGTGACAGGTTACCCACAACAGGAAAGCATCTCACAAGCGACTTGTTCTGCACGATGGCCAGTTCAAGGGATATTATCGATGACGATATAGGAAATTATCATTCAAAGGACTCTCTTCCACATTTACTCAGTTGAATTGGATAAGGACATTAGTAACTCCAAATCAATCACCAAATTTATCATTGGCACGTTATTTCCATTAACAAAATATAAAATACACGCTGCAGCGACAGAGAAAATTGAGTAGCAAACGTGGTATGCATAGCACAAGTCTTTGAGCTACCCTAATCACGAAGTCAACCACCAACACATGGGTTAAAGGTAGGAAATGGCGCAAAGTGCCGAAAATACTGAAGCAGTAACAGAGAGGATACTCGCCTGGGTTTCTAAGGAAGTGGCGCTGCTGACGGGTGTTCGGCGGGTTGTGGGTTTTACCCGGGGCTGGACCATTTTGGTGTCAGTGGCCTTCGTCGTTGACGTGGGTCGGCCATTTGAAGAGGCCTTCGACGCAGACTTGACGGTGCAAGCGGGTGCTGCGGAACTTGCTCGACCAAAGGTCTGCAGCAACGGAGAAAGGAAAACTAGTTATTAAATTATTCAATGCAAGGGAAATTGCGGTAGCGTAGCACCACACACACAACGTGACTAGCAATTACTGCACAAATCTAATTGCAATGTAATATTTACATAATCGTGGCGGAAGTTAGCGAAACTGTAAAATAGATGTTCCCCGTGAGAGTAAAAATGTAGCAGCCCTATTGTGCAACCGGAAATAGGCATAGTGAAAGCCAATTAAATCGCTACGGGAAACCAGCGGGATGAATTGAATCAACCACATTGCGAAGAACTTAATCGTATCTGTTTTGATACACAAAATACTACTGTGTCTACTTGACGACAAGGCATGCTTCTTAAGTTTGCCACAAATTATGGAGGTGGATACTAGAGAAGAACAGGCACTGTTATCGAGCAAATTGAAAAAAAGTAAAGTGCTTTGACCAACCAACCGCCTAGGTGAAAAGATGGCTTCCGTATGCAACAAAGGGTTAATTGAAACAACTGCTGCATTGGTGTGGAAGAGAACCAGAAACCATTGGAAGGGCGGAACATCCTGAATGTGCATCCTAACCACGGTGCTACTCAGTAAAAAGTTAGTAGGATTTGCGACTTCGCCAGCACCGGCACTTCTTCTAGCCACAATAAATTAACCATAGCATCCCCGAGGCGGCGAATCTTTGGCTAGACAAGGCATCGTGGCGTCGGGCACGTGGTTACTTAAACAGACGCATACCACAACAACAGCATGGTTACTAAAAACGGCGTGATTGGGAGGTTAAGCCCAGCACTTCATTTTTTCTTAGGTACACAGCACATAAGGATTGTAGCAAACAAATTTGGAAGCTGTGTTGTGATGTTGAGAGCACCACCAAACATGCCGGATACTACCTCTGGAAGCATTCCTTAGATTTTAACGATGCCGAGATTCTTCGTGGCGTGAAACCAGTCACCATAGAATTAGCCACTCTAAAATCATTTTGTTCTTTTCTGACTTCAATAACCGCAAACAAGACAATGAAGTATTATCACGCAGATTAAGCAAGTCGTGTTTAATAGTTAGTTAGTCATTTTCGTGAAAGGCTCGGTTTATCTAGTCACTTAATGATAGTGAAGATTGAGGTCTATGGGCACCAGACGATGCCAGAAATGTGGCTTCCACAATTGGAGCCAATTAATCGAGTTTCCTAGCCCTGTTCAACGCGACGTGAATTAGATCAAGGTCAATCTAGTGGTCAAAATAGGCATTGCAAATTTAGCAGCTTCAACCATGCAGTAGAAGACGCCAAATAACCTACTTCGTGGTGTGTGTGAAAGGGTGTATAGAGGAAATATTCCGGATTTTGGCAGATTACAGAGTTCACGGCAGATGCAATCCGAGAACTCATTTTGAAAAGTCCGGAACACATGCGGGACCATCGGAGGCTACCAATTTAGAAGTCTTTCTATTTAACGAATTTTAGTTTTCGTCCGAGCTGAAGATCACGGAAGGCGATACGTGGTGCATAAGGAGAACGGCAGTGGGATCGTTTAAAGATAGATCACTCTACATTTATAGGGAAAATGTTGATAAAAAGCGGTTAATTCAGTCAAAACTGTCGCTTTTGAGATTATTGAGTTCACAAATTGGGTTCAAGGTCAAGTAGCGAGCATCGAACGCAGCAGAACAAGTTTCCTCAAGAGTTGCTTGCTTTCTAACTACTTCTCTACCATAAAAGAGGGAGAGATCGTGTTTCACATAACAAATAAACAGGCTGTCTGTCAAACGAATTTGCTACATGACTTAGGGTGTTGTTTTGCGGTAAGGAAACACAAAAGCGCCTATTTTCCTGCATCTAACTATTAAATAGGCTTAAACACAGACATACGCCATTGGTTTCCGAATGTATAAAATAAGCGAAGGATAAAGAGAAAGTTAACCCGACAAAATGAAAGTGCCAGTACAACTGGATTCGGTAAACGAGTTCAGCTAAAATTGTGAAAATTAACTTCACAACACTCTTGACAAACTCACTGTTCTTGGCCCTTTGGACTCGTCTCCACTGGGCTGGTCTGCCTTGCGTGTGGCCGACTTGGAGACACGCACCGGAGTGCCGAGAGAGCCAGTTGAAGCGGCGACCGCAGCTGGTCGCTTGGCTTCGGCGGCAAGGTCAAAGTTGAATGGGTAATTGAGCAACTGCTCCACGTGTGTGGTTAGGTCGGCGTAAAGGCCTCGAAGGGTTGTCCGGCATTGGCGAATAAATGCTCCGTCACAGTAGTAGCGCTTGAGGAGGGGCTCGTTGCTAACAAGCGAATTCAGCCAGAGTAGGAGGGCTCGCTGACTGCAAAATCACCAATAACACAGAGGCTAAGTTGTCTCCTCGTTAATAAGACACCTCCACCCCCCACACACACATGGTGACAGTGCTCACACATGTTGTTTGAGCTAAAAAGTTCCGTAGTTTTAATTGCGTTTAAGAGGTAAGCGCCAGCCAATAAAAGTAATTGGCTACTTCTGGCCTTGTAGCTGGCGTGACAGATGAACACCGTTGCAACGGGTCGGGGTGAGATGACCGCGACCAGTTGCCAAAATTAATGCACTTTAATAGGTGAATTACATCTACATCTGTTCTGCACGTCGACGCTAACCAACAGAATGAAGAGCCACATCCTGAAAGTGTACGGTTTGGCAAGGAGACAAAGAAAGGTGGGGGGGGGTGGAGAAGGCGCCTAAAGGAAGCATGCAAGTAGAGTCAAGATGACGCCTAATTTGTTTACAAACAATATTCAAATACAAAATCAATTTCAGAGCCATGAGAAAGCGGTCTTACTTGAGGCAGCCACAAACGAAGGCTTTGAAGCGCACTTTCTCGGTTATCGCGCCGGTGAGGGACTTCACCTGATTCAGCACCTCGGTCACAATGTGGTGCTCGATTTTGCCGAGATACGGGGCTAGAAGTGAAGGCAGTTTTAGAATAAACACACTGATCGACTGGGCTGCATCACACACGCGCGAGCGTGAGAATGAACGCGTACAGTTAATGATCAGTACCTAACACAAAGCATACCCCTGTCGCAGTTTGTGCAAAATTACTTGCGGTCAAGGATTAATGAAAATTTGGACAGTGAAGGCAGATATTTAGAAGGTCGCAATGACATGAGGAAGATCAACTCTCTAACCTAATCACACTAATAATGACGATCGGGAGACATAATTAAACGAATAAGAGTAGGATGCATTTCAAGCTGATCACTGAGATAGAGAAGCAGTGCTATTCAACTTTACAACTCGACGCACCCAGACGTGTTTTAAACTGGCACAAACCAAATTTGGAGAGCCCTAGGTGTTACCGAAATCTTGAATTTAAGCCTGCTTTGATTTAAAGTACCACATAATTGTAGTTCTTTCCAACCAGAGGTGAATTTCAACAGACCGGCAACACTGGCACTGTGGTACTTTACGGTTCGCGCCCTCGCAGCGCCCGTTTCGTAATGCTTCCCATTAAGGGAAAATAAAAGACGCGATGGGTGGGTGCACGTGCGCACGCACGGGCAGCATCTAATCGATAGGCGGCATGTGCGCAATGCGCACGCTATTTGGCTGATGCGCGAATGCCGCTACGCTGTCAGGTTCGCGATGCCACAGGGCGGACAGCATCATTGGCCGAGGACGTAACATGATACAGACTGGTTGTATTCGCAAGTAGCTGTAGCTGGCCGTTTCACGGTGACGAGGCTCTTCTACACTGACGTTGTATGCGATTTTGGCTCAACAGAATACATCATAACTCGGAAGTGAGATCACGTTGTAGATCACTTTGCGACACGCAAACCTAGACTGTTCACATTTTAAGTTTTTGGCTGTGTGATTGGCTGCACCTCTGACTGTGAGAATAAACGTGCTTTGAACGACGACAATGTCTTGGTACTAATTGAACATGTGTTCAGGCTTTGGCAAACAATTTTAATCAATTTAACTCAGAAACTATTTGCATGATGATATTATAGCTAATAACCGGAATTCAAAACACATCAGACGACTTGGCTTAAGAAATCTCAGGATCTTGGGAGGATTTAGGACACATCCACGCAACCAAATCATACCCCACAAACTATGAAAATGAGATAGAGGAAATGGACGTTACAAGGTCGACAACTATCCTCCACAAGGGCCCAAATGCGCGATTTGGGTTTGCTTGCGAAGATTGCGCGGGTCTGAGGCGGGAGGAGGCCATCGGAAACCAGAACCATGAGGGGGTTCACGACGGTGAGCAGACTGCTGCGTCCAGAGCTGCCCAGCGCCGCCAGAGAGGAATAGTAGTTTTGCACCACCATCACCGGCGACTTGGAGGTGACGTCGGCAGAAGTGGAGGAGTCCGTGATGATGCTGCTTCCTTCGGTCACCTTGCTCCCTTCCGTAGTGGTCAGTGAGGTTGCCGGTTGACAGAAGTAAGCGATCGTTTCCTGTACGGCTTTGATGACATCCATTACCATGGCTAAATAGAAAAGGGATAGGCTTTTGTCTGATAACCAGCACACTGAACTGTAGACTAGCGTGCTACAAAGAACTCCAGGTTGTTAAATTCAACCCATTGTTTGAATAAGTATCTTGATGTTGTATTTGAGCCTAACGTCTAGGGTGCCCAATGCCTTGAACCAGACGTTCGGCTACATGGGCTAACGTTTTTTGATAGCATATTGGCTGAGCCAAACTTTCAAGAGCATTTAGTCACGATTAACATCGTTCTCGGTTTTAGCATTGTACGGAACTCAAATCTGTAAGAGTAGGAGCCGTGCGGCATCGGTGATGTCTAGGAAAACTGGTTTACCCAAATGATCGTGGTAAAAGTAAGTCGCCTGACTCCTGCCTCACGGAAAGGAACTAGCTTTAATGTGATTCTCCACCAAGCATTAAAACAATTTCTGACATAAAGGTGTTAAATAAAAAGACCCACAATTTATTACTGATGTAGAAAACCGAGGCACTGTTATGAAGCAAAAAGACCGATGGCTAAGTATAGGCGAGTGCAAACGCAGACAAATCAGTCAATATTACACATACTAAATACGACAGTAACATTGGATTTAAATAATTGCAACGAGGTAAGAGCAACGGGTGTACGCCTTAGACGCAGATCAGGGGAATACCGCGAAAACAATCAGAAAGCAAACTTCGTATAACCATCACAGTGACTCAGTTACGAGGCCGTCGAACGGTTTCGTTTCTAACCCGAGCCAGAGCAAACTGACATTAGTACTTTTGCAGGATTAGCAGAAACGGTTGCCAACGCAGCCGTGGTCGACGCGCACCTGAATCATTTTTGCGCAAATCGCTCTTTCAACCCACAGGCACTGCATTAACTACAACAAATTGTGCTCTACGCCGACCATTCTATTAAAAAATAATCACCATTTTTAGAGAATTGACTTAAATAGGAGACTTAAGCAAAACAGAATTGAGCGAGTAACGTTGAGGAGGAAGGAGTGCTGGTCTCACTAACCACGTTAGAGAACACACAGAATAAACCAGGAAAAACGAGGTTTCTTTGTGGCCGTAAGCAACACTTGGACAATAAGATTTTTTTAGTGAGCAAAGTGACCCATGAGCACAGCCAAGTCGCATTGTTAACTCAGTTACGACAATTACCTAGCCAGGCAGGACACAACACTTTACCCTAGTAAGTCGATTCAGTCAAAAGAACACATACCACTCAGAATAAACAAAGCATTACTTTAATTAAAAGAAAAAAACAGATTTTCAAAGGACGCCACGCTCTCGATCAACGTGCTTGGAGTGAGCTAGAATAAACGAATTCATTTGACGCTAACAATTGCACTACAAATCAAACAGCACAACCAATGTAGCAGTGTGTCAAGCCTAACCCGCAATGAGATTTAGCGCTGATGGCACCGCAGATGCTTGAGCCCAGACATCCACGTCAAATTGGGAGGCTCCATTGAAAGGTTATTATTCACCGAAATGGGGTTCGAAACTCGTAAACCCCCTACGCGCCTTAACCAAATACTTAAACTAAAAATAACTTTTTGTGAGGTTAAAACTTGAACTCAACCCCTGTATACGTGTAGACGAAGGGGCAACACCGACCTATAAAGGAAAAATTATCCTATCATCTTCCTTGACAAGGCAGCATCAATTGGTCGAGGCCCTCATCTGGCTAAAATCACGATTTACAGACTGGCCTAAAGACGTGAAGGTAAGTTTATCAAGCCAAGAACACATGGCCGGACATTCCCCTTGTACTTTCAGAAATCTGCACTTATGCCCAGATGTGAGGAAGTGCACATTTGACCTTAACAGAGATCCTTGACCCAGAATTGCGTAGTCGAGTTTGGATCACGGTTAGCACTTCTAAGGAAGTTCATTTAGTGTCAGAGTGCAAGGCGCATTGTTTCCTTGATCGATAATGAAGTGAATTAGGTTTTTGCTTGCCCAAAAATTTACTACATACGGACTTCAACCAGCGGCAAAGTCAAGATCTGATTTCCCAATGTTACGATCGATCTCCACTAACCAAGCAAAAAATTGACGCGAATTACACAAATTTCGTTGCGATTTGTGTTGTCTCAGTTCCACTTTATTGGGTCCGCGCGTAGTGAAATGATCACAGAATATCCACAATAAATTCTACAAGTTTGTGCCAGTCACGCGAAATTACAATAACCTATAAAAAACAATGATTGAGCACGAAAACATGAAAATATACGTCGTTAAAATAAAAAAACAACGTTAATTCACACGATCAACTTTAAATGAAACAAGTTACAAGTGCCCACGTTAGGTGACGATTTGGTTTGCACAGTTAATTTCGTGAGCACACCCACGAATGTTTTCCCTACTCTGTAGTTCTTGCATCATACGGTGGGGCAAACATTTATGGCATGACTACCATTAACACAACCGTTACAGGAAGAGCTTCGAATCAATTTACAAGAATGAGACCACCCAATTCAGAATGTTTTAATTTCGGGAAGTTGGTTTCATCGGGCTTGCTTACGTGTCAATGTCATTCTTTCATTTCGCCAGGTAATAACGAGAATTCAAAATTGACCTTTCAACAAAAATGGTCCCATTTTGCTACTTCGGAATTTGACGCCGCATAAGGGTCTAGAGTTCCGATGCGTTGCCTTTTGATAAAAAATCAAAGAAATCTCCGTCTCATTGTAGGCCGCACGTGGTCTTGAGCAGGGATTGTGATGTTACCATGAGGATGACCGGTCATCATTACCTCGCAAAAAATACTTTATCGCCGTGGCAAAAACTTTTTTAAAGAATCGTAAATTAGTTTTCTATCCTGTACAGACATGAACAGGTCAGCTGCGATTGAGTGACCCGTCATTCCCACGATGTACTTTTAGAATATTGAAAAGATGATAGATAAATTGAAACTAGACGAAAAAAATCATATGTCCTTATCTCTTTTACCTAAAACATGAACACCACAAAGAGGAAATCGCGACTCAAGGCATGACGGAGGGAGCATGTCGTTTAATGCGTCAAACAAATTGTGGGGGCTATCTGAGGGTGTTGGAGGGCCTGTGATCACGTCCTGTCACGTGAATAGTTGCCAAAAGGAAACGTAAACTGGGTCGAAACAGCGTCATTAGAAATGGGTACACAAAAGACAGCAGTTGAAATCGTGTGTGCAGAGCTTTGAAGGTAACATAAATATTGCTTGTCAATACAACCGCCAGGCGACATCTTCGTCTCAGACTACGTTTCAACGCGTAGTGTACCACGACGTACTGGTGCGATTTTACTAGTGTAGATCGCTGCCCAGAGAAGGCTTACTTATACGTAGCTAAAATAACCAGGTCGACACCGGCTGATTCGCTACCGTTTCAGGCAGCATACGCCATCGAACTGTGGGGTGCCGTTGTTGTGAGACCCAGGTGCGGCGCAGCCAACGAGGTTTGTTGCGTGTTATACACACACACCTAAGTCGTGCTTGCAAGCCAACTCTGGTGATTCATGCGTGCACGCCGCCGTCCCTGAAGGCAACAGGTTGGCGCGGCGGCCTTGCAACGGTTTTCTGGACGCGACCGCTGAGCCAGTGAATGAAATCGGTTAAAACAACGGGGTGTTGTGCCAGCGCCTCAGCTGTGCACAATCTGGTTACAGTGTGGGGTGAAAGCCGTACAAGGCAACGAAAGGACTTAAATATCAACGACAACTTGTGACTAAGATTACACGGAAAGCAATTAAAGTGGGGAATAAAAGAGGGGCTTGGGTGATTCGAGTTTGAAAGACCTCAAACTTATTATAACATTACTTCGCCTCTCTATTGGGGATAGTTCGAAGTGCTAAGGGGATCACAGGTAAGATGAGGACGAAGTGAAGGATTTTAAACATGGCGCTTTCACCTTTACGAATTTGATACAGAAAATTATACGCGATTAAATTTTCTCTATCTGGAAGAAAGATTTACTACAATAGCATAAACGCCGGTTCGAATGCTAATAAGCAAAGAAGGACCTAAGCCAGTCGGCCATTTTAAGGCCATATCACGGAAACAAAAAGTCGGCGCAATCCGGAGCGCCATATATCGGTTAGGAAAAGCACTTATTTCAGAAACGTGGCCAAGTTAGGCACAGTACAAACGGCAACAATGGCAATAATGGTGTTTGCATCAGAACTGACTTAGGACGTCATCCAATTGCCTGAGTACTTCAAGACAATGTCCTTGTTTATAAGTTAAAATGCTTGGGAAGTGAATAACTAAACACTTTGTCAAGAAAGCGCCCAAATAGCGCGAGTCTGGCACCTAGTTTTTCCTTACCCCACGTAGTACTTCGACTTCAACTTCTCCCCTTATGAAGACCAACTATACGGAGCCTATTGTAGTTAACATGCAAACAGAAAAACAAGTGAGTTTAACTCTTGAGCGCGGTAAAACGACGTGAGTACCGCACAATAGCCTTGTCAATTAACAGATATTTTGCGCTACGCTCATAATATATCCAGTAGTACTGTTTCATTCATCATTTCGATCAACCATTTGATGATTCGGTAGCGTGTTAATTTCCACCCAGTCCGCGATATTATTTCAAGGGAATACGCAGGTGCATGCGCCCTGTTTTATTTCGTCGCTATGAGAACACATAACGGTACAATTGGACAAATTCCGAGTTGAAACCCAAAACCTATCGAAGTTCTGGATTATCCATACTGACCCTGGACCTAAAAGTACTCTTTTTGAGCCCTCGGGACAGCCGAGAGAGAGCCTCATACAGAATGAAGGTGGTTGTAATCGGTAGAGAAAGTGTGCAGCCGTACACTGTAAACAGTTGTCAGTAGACAAGGCTTATGGTTAACAACGTATCGAAAAGATACAACTACACATATTCAGCCAACAACCAATGAAATTGCTTTACTCAAAAGTAACGATTACCAAGAGATTATGGGAAACAGGAGCCGACTAAAGCTCTTTCAATGTAACAAGACCAGATTTAGGATTAAGCTTCAACGATAATTAACTGATCGTTGTCCTAAGTCAACAGTATAAAACATTAATTGCCGTTCACAGTACCCCTAGTGCAAAAGGCAACGTGCTTGCTTACATGTCTATGGTTTGATAAGCTTGTTTCATGACAATGGTGAACTGTTTGGTAAAAAAGACTTTCAATGGCTTGATCTTAAGATCTGAATTTTCACAGCCCAGTTTATTAAAAACCTGGTACATATCGTAGCTTCTACTCACACAAATCAAATAAATCGGAATACTCACTATTACTCCTTGAGCTGTAGATAGTTCTGTCAAACAGTAGACAATGCCATTACTTAACTGTTTATGTATGTTACATGCACCAATTGGAGGTTAATTCAACAAACTCAACGTGTCTGGAGTACTGAAATATTTCGTTTGTCAATCATCTGCATATTCATTTCACAATGTTGGAGAAAACTGGATCGGTAAAGGACGTTTATAAATGCTGGCAAAAATTAGCTGAATTGAAAAAATCCAACCTATTTACAAGCTCAGTGACGTAACAAAAATCTGCAAACGCCAAAATTAGTGCTATGCATTTTTGAGACGCCAATCAAGTGGCCGACAAAAAAGAATAATGTACTTTAGGCGTGTTAATCAACTTGAAGAAATAGCAGTTTGTGCGCGTGCGTCGTAGGTGACATTTATAGAGGACCAAGAAAATTCAGAACCGATTGGTCTCATTCCAGACAACTGTATGAAACCAACATGAGGTTTCACTCACCCTGATAACGAAGGTCGACATCTGAAGGTCGGGTTGTGCTTGAAACGTTGTTCTGATCGTCATGTGATAGCTGGAACACGGCTAATGGTGGAGGATCCTGTCCGTAAAGACCCCAATTCCTCGGAATCACTGAAGGGTGGTAAAAATTTTAGGTTTAAGTGCACAGGATTGGCTGACCTGGTCGAACTGAACAAACATAAACTTTGGGAAATGTAGTAACAAGAGCTTCAAGAAATATATGGAAAAATTGGTCTGGTGTAAAACGACAAACAACTTACGGTCGGATAGTTATGTAGTTTATCCTTGGGGCTCTACATGCATGCCAATCCAATTTTCTAGACACGAAACGCATCTACCACTTAATATTACACCGATGCGAGGTGCCCTTAAGGATTCGAAAATCACAAATGGCTACCTTTCAACACTGGTTACTAGTCAGACCTGGAAGAGTCAGACAAATGATGTCCCGAGTATCTGCTTAGGGGTCAGTCCTATTCAATGGGACAACTGGGACTTGAAACAATACCACGGATAAGTCTATCATCATGTAACAGTACAAAATTAAGGGCTTATTGAAGAGTGACACATAATGGTACAATCTGCTCTACTCAATACCTAATTATCTGGTCTTAAATAGCACAAAATGAAGGGGACTAACAGAAAATTTCGAAGTATACGGTAGATAACGCATTTGCAGGTATGTAGGTAAATACGATCGAACTATGAATGTTTGCTAAATGTGATTGTTGTGCCTAATTCTAAAACAGGATTCCAAGAACACAAAGAGTAAGCAAATAAAAGAGTAGATACATTCGCCGAAAATTATGACACATAATCGACCAATCGGGCGGCAAAACTAGAGGGTACCTGGGGCAACCGATTTCTGTGACTGGCTGCGGTGCGTGCTGACTAGAAGGGAACCTACATTGGTGCAGTATTAGCCGGTTCAGGACTCGTTGATGCAACTCCGAAAAAGAAATCCTGGTTAATAAAACTAATTGGATGGTGTGGATAATGTTATTGAGTCTGTTGAATGTCGCATTATTCTCTAGGAAAACGGTATCGTTGAGATGGTCGAAAAACGTAGAAGTGACATGAAATTGAAGCTAATACCGACGTACTGAAATTTCACTCACCTGAGATGGATGGTATAATAATCAGAGAAATTAAAATGACGACCACTCATTTTTCTTGTTATAAAAGATGATGGGACCCTGTATTGCCCCATGAGGCACTAAACTTCAACTACTAGAGCAAACCGCACCAGCACCGCGTCCTGACATTCTTGATGAACGAGTATTGAATAGTTAAAGATGTATTACACTTCTTCGAAATAACTCGGACCTTACCCTTGGGGTCAGGAGACCCGTAACGGCGGGCGTCCGGAACACACGGAGGTGACAAACAGGGGCTGATTGATCCCGGTAGCTGATGCATGTTACCATTAAAACTGACGCTTTTCTTGCAATGCGTTGATTGTGACCTTGGTCGACATGGGCGTAGTGAATCCAAGGCAATGCCAGGCGCCTTTTCTTCTTCATTCAGTGAAGTGGCCATCATATCCCCAGCAAATTTTTGTTGAGAGTTAGCAACGCTGGGTTCCGATACAGGTCGATCGAAAATATTGGCCTTGAACAAAAAAGTGACTAAATGAGTCCTTGGAACTGTGAACTGAATCAATGCCCCCAAGAAACACATAGCCAAATATGCCACAACCAAAATAAGTATTTGGAGGTTACCTGAAGTGTTGACTTTCTTGTGAGATTAGCGGAAGGACGGTCAATGCTTTGGACATCCGAAACCCTGCGTCCATCAATGCCACTGATTCTTCGACGAATGGCCTCAATACCAGTATTTCTACATGTGCTTAAGGTTCCGCGGCCGCCAGGTACTCCACCATTAGTGACGCGTCGACACACAGCAACCGCGGACACAGACCTGCGCGAACGAAGTGGTGGTGGCGGGAGAACTTTGGTCGTCGGTGTCCCCGATTTTGCCTCCTGAGCTGCAGCTTTTCCCAAGAGAGAAAGATCCGGCAAGGTTTGCGAGAGAAAAGTATTGCTTTCGATACGCGAGGGTTTGGGAATAGCCAATCGCCCTAGCCCTGGATAAACTATGGCTGCACGTGGGTTTTTAATGTGGCTGAAAGGAGAGCCTTCCCGAAGTCGGGACATACACTCAGATTCAGGGTCAGCGGATGTGGTCAGGAGACTCATTGGGGGAACAGGTGAATAGGGCTTATACGTAACGCCATTGCCACACGAGAGATTGACGTAGAGACGACTCTTGGGAGAGGTGACGCTTGATTTACGAGGTGGGGCTCGTGGGGGTTGCGAAGAGGTCTTTGGTGGGGGAACTGTCATTCTGAGCCATGGTACAGCCGATTGGTTATCCCTTTTGATTGGCATGTGCTCAGTTTCTGTACCGAGAGATACCATTAAAGTATTTGTCTGTAATGACCGAGAACACATTGTACGGCTCGTAGAAACACTATCACCCGTTAATGAGGGGCCGAGCCTTTTTAACAAGCGCGGGGTCGCCTCCTCAGCGGGGACTGCGCTTTGTGAAGAAATGTAGGAGCTGGAAGCAAGATCTCTAGCGCGAGCTCGCATAAATATTTCCAATAAAGTTCCTGAATACCTATGCATGGCCTTTTGTGAAACTGGAGGTCTCAGTGAAATGTTGAAATCGCAAGACATCAGAGAACCATGTAGATTTGAGGACAATTTATTTGTCTTTGCAGGGGTGTGTTTTGCATTGCGATTTCCCAGAGAAGCGGTGCGTCTCAGCTGTCCCCAAGTAGTCATTTCACTACCCGCAACTTCCTTAACAGCTCTCCAAGTGACAGCAGCTTCTGGAATATTTACTTGTCTAGTGAGATTGGGTAGGGAAGGATTGACTGGTGTATCAGACGACACGACTGCCTTTTTACTATTAAGCGATTCTCTGCTGCTTCGAATCCGAGCCCAGGTAGTAGTAGTAGTTGTTGTTGTTGTATCGGGCAAGGATGTATCATCACAACTACAATCAGAGGTCGAAACACCAATTGAGCGAAATTCTTTTGGTGCCGTTATTTTGATATTAGCTAGCGCCTGCCTCATTCCGGCAAGACTAGCGGCAGTAAATATATTTCCATGGCTTGTTGACCTTTGTATTCTACCAAATCGATGTGAAGCATTAACAAGGGGAAGGACGGCTCCATCTTCAGCTCCAGTCTGAAGCTCGCCCCAAGCGAGTCTGTAATCCAAAGCCTCAGCCGTGCGTTTAAGTAACTCCTTCAATTGAGGACAGGAAGAACCTTCCAAAATTGCCTGCATCCAACTTCCAGTCAATGAGGAAGGGCCGTTTATAGTAAGTTGGGGAACCTCACTAAATGTTATAGCACAAGTATCAAAGAGCTTGTCCATTCCGCCGAGGTCATGCAAAGCTGTTGAAAAGTCAGCTGACATTGTGCGATGAATGCGTTGAGCGCATCTCCCAGGATTTGATGCACTCGTACTATCGGGACAACATATATTGTTCTGAGGCGAAAGACGGGAAAAGGCATCACGATTAGAGTTAACTGGAGACTCGAAACGCCTTTCCATATCAGCACCTGCGCCACCTTGTCCGCTATCGCCAGAATCGGGCTGACTAAAGAGGCACGAGTCGGAGCGAGAATGGGGTGGTGCCATAAGTCCCCTATTCGTCGTTCCAGAGGAAGAAATGCCTTCATCACTATCTTCTATTAGGCCCCGATGATGAAGAGCAGTCTCGTCCCGCAGGTTTGCATCAAACGGAACGGCAAAATCATCGTCAAAAAAATATTCACTGGGTTCTAAGAGGATTGACGTGGTATTTACACAGCCACTATATGGAGAAGAGATGGCTTCAGTATTCTCATTTGCAAAACAATTCGACATAGGACAATCCACGTCTCGTTTAACAATATTGGTGGATGCTGTGTTCTTAAAAAAGCCCTCGGGCCGAATGGAAGCCTCTGGCAGACTACCCGTTACAGGCCTGTCCATTGGCACCACTTGCCAGAAATGAATTAATTAATGTAGACAGTAGAATGACTTTAACAAAGGCTAAAGATAAATCTAAAAAACAATACAAGTTATATAAAGGACCAAGAACAATTCTCAGAAAAAAAAACAGCAACTCACCGTTGAAGCACAAAATGCAGACGGGCAAATCAGACAATCCGCGGCGTCCATTAATGGCCTTGAAGTGAATATTAACACAGTGCTTACAGTCAAATCTAATTATGTAGTCACAACTTATTACTCTTAGCTGCATAAATTTAAAGAAGTAAAGAAACTATGTTTAAAAGTGTGCAGTAAGGTCATGAGACCTGAGATTACCAAGATATTGGCTTCATAAAAAGTCTAATATTATTTGCTATCATGTAGATGTGAAAAGTACAAATGCCTTTGGAAAAGAAAAGCAATGTTTAGAATTTTGGTAGATACGCATCTAGACGGAAATTATTTGCAGGCACAAGTCACTGAAATTTTCGTTTTTCAGGAATTTAGTAAGAACGCTGGTGAAGTGTACCTAAACGATAACATTACTAGCTTTACTATCATATTGAAAACAAATTAAAAATCATGTTATTTTCGCATAAAACGTTTTGAATTTAACATAGAAAATTAATTTTGAGTCAAAAATCTTTGTCTAAGATCCTTGTGAATATATAATTGATGACCCAGTTCTTGGCAATTGTATTTTTAATACTACCACTTTACAATGAAAGATCATATAAACGGTGCATGTGTCCATTTTACTGTATTTGAAGTTCACAAATTGTATAGTTAGTAGCACTCACCTTTTACAAACAAAGCTACCAATTCGTCCAGAGTCCTCGATTTTGCTCACGATATTATAAAATGTACTGCATATTTTTGATAGACTAGCTGAACAAATTAGAAGAATCAACACGAACATTGTCAGAGAAATATGAGGGTCATTTTATGTGTCACGCACTTTTTCTGGTGTTCTTTCCGTTTTGTGATCTTTTGTTTTATATCTAGCTTTGTGGATATTAATCGCCCGTGTGTAGCAGTCATTTATTATTTCGAAGGAACTTCACAAAAGGCGTTTATTTCCAATTATTAACTGCCATAGAACCAAAACTGAGTTTGGGTTTATCTTTCTAGTGGATTGTGTATTACTTTGCAGTCAAACGAAAGTAAACTTTTGTTACTTAATACAAATGTTTGCTTTTTCTGTAACATACCATGACAGATGTAGCATTAGCCAATGGCTTCAACACAAGTCATTGATAATCGCAATTATTCATATATTTAACGAATTATTTTGAGTATATTTTATCAGGAATATGCACAAAAACAAATCAAAATAGAATTACTGCCTCGGTGTAAGTTTAAAAAATAGTTTTTGTGTTTTACAAACAGCATACTTTTAAATTTTTACCGACTCAGAGGGCGGATGCGATAGGTGCGGTTAGCGAGTGATTGGATGACCACGAAAAGGCCTGAGAAGGGTTTGTCCAGCTTCAAGTTGCTGCCGGGGTTTGGGTAGGGTTGGTGAAACCAGACTTCATGCCCTGGTTGATAGGGTGCTCCGTGGGCCATGCGATCAAAGAAGCGTTTTTGGTGTTCTTGACTGGTGTGTAAGTTTTGTCGATGCGGTGTGGTGAATGTCTACAAGTTGTGCAATATATTCACTGGGAATCTGTGGTGATGAGTGTCGGGGAGGGAACTGTAGAATGAAGGAGGTTTGGAGTTCGTGACCGAAAGTCAAGAGAGCAGGGGAGATTCCAATAGACTGGTGGACTGTACACATGTAGGCAATGTAAGATGAGCTGGTCAGAGGTATCATTTTTGTATGTGGAAATGAACGAGGAATCTGTAAGTCCTTTCAGTTTGACCGTTACCCCTGGGGTGGTAGGAAGTTGTACGCGTTTTCACGCAGTTCATAGCCTCAGAGAGTTCTTTAAAAATCAGACTCTCGAAATTGGGTCCCTGATTGGGATGAGTGGAGTCTGGATCTTTGAAGCAAAAGGTTTAGTAGGACAAGATGGCATCGGCGATGGTACGCGCCTTCTGGTTGGAAAGGGGAGCCGCTTTCACCCATTTGGAAAAGAAGCCGACCATGACCAGGAGGTACCTGTCCCCCAGACGAGATTGTGGAAATGGGCCCATAACGTCGATGCCTACACTTTGGTTGACGTATTCCGAGACACCTGACTGAAGCGGGGCCGTGAGACGGTGATTGGAGTCTTTTAGTGGAAAACAGGCGGAACACGAGGAACTAACGAAACGAACTTCACGCTTAATTTCCAGTGATCAGAAGCGTTAGCGAGCTGCCCTATCTAATTTGCCTTGATTGGGGTGGCTCAACTGATTGTGAAGGTGTTACGTTTTCCCGTAACAAAAGAGAAGACCACTCAAATAACGGTACCAGATCCCCTGATGAAGCTAGAACCGACCTTCCCAGGCTAATATAAGAACAAGGCCAGAGCTCTAGTAGAGAGCTTTATTCGCGTCAGCCACGCGCAGAGGAGCGGTAAAATCGAAAATGAAAACGAAACTAGTTCAAGTCATGGTTGACCTTTACTTGATAAAAAGCGTAACAAAACAAATATTAGTAAATTAATGTAAATAGAATCAGAAACCAATCTTGGGGAATCGTGGATCCCCAACAGAAGTTCTGTGAGGACAGCGCGTGCTGCTGATCGAGGAACCACTAGACGAACGGGGGAGTTGGTGTCGCATTGGAAATAAAGTACCTCGTCGCTGAGAAAGAGGTTGCACCAGAAGGAACACAGGAAGTGGACGCCGTGGTTTTGGCCTCGCATTTCTTTAGCTGAGGGTTTGGGTTGGCCGTGACGTTCTCTGTCGTAAATTAGAGTTGTATTCAAGTCTTCTTGCTTGTATTTTGGCCTAATTTGTATTGTTATGATATTGACGTTATCTGGGGTATTGGGAATCGATTAAAGGGATGGAAGACGAGAAAGAGCGCCTGAATTGCCGTGTTCTACCCGGAATATAATTCTAATTGGAAGTCAAAGTCAACTAGAGCCTTCTGCAACCAGGTTAGTTAACCCTCCGGTTCTTTAAAACTCCACAGCTAGGTGATTTCTGATGATCAGATCGAATCACATAGGGCTTAGCAAACGCAACAATTGCCAGGTGCTGGCGTCTGGTGGTGCTGTAATTGCATTCCTTCTTATCTATGGCACTGCTCGCGTATGCTATGACGTTTTCAGCGCCATCGGTTCCGCATTTGGATAAAACTGCACCTGTGGCATGGCTATTAGCGTCAGTGTCCAATATGAATGGTGGTGTCTTGGGATCTAGATTCGGGAACATAAAGATGAGGGCCGCGTTTAGTGCCTGTTTAAATTGTGTGAAGGACACTTTGCACTCTGATGACTAGTCGAATGGTCTGCCTTTCTCCGTAAGTCGTTGTAGGGGAAATGCGATACAGCTGTACGCGGGGATGAAGGCGCGGTAGTAGCCAGTCAGGCTTAAGAACAAACGCATTTCGTCTGGGGAGGTGGGAGTGGGCCATTGCTTAACTAGGTTAATTTTTTTCAGGATCTGCAGATACTCCAGACTTTGAACTCATGTGTCCGAAAAACTTGGTTGATTGCTGCTGGAAGCAGCACTTTTTTGTGTTAATGGCCAGACCTGCCTGTCCATATCTTTAAAGGACTACAGCTAGGTTGTCCAGCATCTCCTTCTCAGTTGAGCCGAACACTATGACTTCGTCGAGATAGACCAGACATTTTGTTGGAGGAGGCCTGGGAAGACTTTCTGCATTACGCTGTGACAGGTGGCTGCAGCGTTGGCTAAGCCCATGGGGAGAGCACAAAATTCGTAGACGCCAGAGGGGAGTGCAAAAGTGGTCCTTTTTCCGGTTTTTTAGATCCGCTTCTATTTGCCAATAACTGCTGGAGAGGTCAAGAGTAGAGACATACTTTTATCCGATTAGAGCATTAAGGAGATGGTCCATTTGCGGAAAAAAGAGTCATTAAATGTTCCTGCGTTAATTTTCCGATAGTCGATATAGAGTCGGAGGGAGACATCTTTCTTCTTGACATGGGGAGGGTGACGGAATAATGACGCCTTGTCGATGGAGGTCGTCAATGAGGTTATCCAGGTCTGCACGGAAGTGTACAGGTATTCGTCGTAAGGGTGTTCTCTGTGGGGGAGCGTCACCGGTGTTTATTGTGTGCTGAATGACGTTAGGTCTTCCGATGTCCTGACCTGCCTAGTTGAACACGTCGGTAAACTGTGCCAGAAGTTTATTTAATTGGAAGCAACTATCCAGTGGAATGCCGGAAAGAGGACTGTCAGTTATCAAAGTGGGTTTGGATGGGGAGCTAATAACTTTAATGTCGAGCCCTGGGGTGTAGGTTCCGGTTGTACACGACCGACCTGGCCCGTGGAGCAGTCGTTGACATACTTGTGAGTAGGTATGAAGTCGCACCTAGGATGACATTCCATCATCGATCCGTAAAAACAAAAAAAGAATGTTGGGCTTTGATCTAACCAAAATTAAAACGGGCCATAACTAGTCCTGAGGTGTTCAGTTTGGGACTGTTCGCTGCAAGAACCAATGGGGTGGAAGAAATCGACACTAGGACATTTGTAATGGCGGGGAACTTAAGATTGAATATAGACACGGCTGCCACCGTGTAATGAGGAAAGTAGACTTATGAGACTTCATGCGACCTTGGACCGCTTGAGCGCAAGATTCGGTAAAGAGAACTGAGCTTGAGGGGAAGGGTAACTCACTTGCTCCGGTATGTCCGCAGCGTATTGCCGCCTTGCCGAAGAGTTTGCAGCAGCCGCACTTTGAGGGGTCAGGGTCATAAACAGATGTGGGTTTCTGGGGAGGAATAGGGGGTCGGAGGTATTGAAATGTTGTCTGAGTAGAGGGGAATGGTGGTGGGTTAGGGTAGAGGAGCAGATGGAGGATACCTAGAGTAATTGTGTGCTACAGGTGAGGTTTGGATAGTGTAAGGGTAGGTATGTGGGGGTGTAGGGTTGGAACG